TTTTCTCAGGCTGTATGTGAGTTGAAGTGAGGATCAGCAGACTCGTAAGGCACTGCTGTGTTGCAGCAGTTGCCATGGTAAGAGCCAGCCCTTGCTTTCTCTGCGGATTCCTCCCCCACAACTCCAAAGGCTCTGTACCAATTATTTATTGCTGCTGGAATTCTCCAGGTACAGTATATCATACAACACTTAGCACAGGGTTCTCTGTCTACAGCAGCTATGCAGTACAAGAATTTCCTCCCCAGCTACATGGGTATCTTAAGCTGCACCTGTGTTCTGTACTCTGCTGCTGGCTCCCGGGTGCTCTGTCTCCCAGAACAGACATCGGGCACCTTGGTGGAGGGGGGTGTGTGTGATGTTGATTGGCCCTTGCACCTCGGGCTGGCAGGACCTGGCTGTAAACTTAAGGCACTAGTGCAAGGAGCAGGGGAGTAAAGCAGGCTCTACTGACTGCTGACGACTGCCTTCTGTAAAACCAAGCTGGAGCGCTGCTCCCTTACTGGATGGGGTACTGCCCTGTGTCAGGCAGGGGAGAGCCAGGGGAAGCTTTTCTGATCCTCACTTTGGTCCTTACTCTGTGACTTCAGAGCGGGTGGCAGCTAGGCACTAAGCACAACTGAAGTTCTTCAGCATGTTTGGCCTAGAGCCCTCTTGGTAAGCATCGGTGCCTGTGCCCTGATCAGCAGGGCTGAAGTAAGCCCAGGCTTGGTGAAGCTTCCTGGCAAGAGGGACAAAGGGTGTGAGAAAGGGCATTGTGCTGGGGAGTGCTGGTGGCTGCCCCGCTGTCCCCTGCTGTGTGCTGCAATTAAACTGAAGCTAAGGAGGCTTCGGGTGGGGAGAAACAAGACATCTGAGGAAGGATTTGTAGTCAGCAAACACGACTGACACTGGGCCTTGCTTTCAGCAAGAGCTGCGTGGAAAGCTGGCCCAACCCTCTGAGAGGGCAGCCACCACCCAAAGGCTGAAGTAATGCACCCATGAGGGTTGTCTGTGACCTCAGCAAAGGGTCTCCGAGTGCCCGGCTCTGCCTCTCCCTTGCAGCCAAGGTTCAGCGTGGCCGGCAACGGTCCTGGGCTGTGGGGCACTGGGGGAAGCACCGAGAGCAGCAGGGCACTCCTAAACCTTGTCCTGAATCTAACATACCCTCAGAGATGTGCCGCTTCCACCACTTCAGGGACAGGTCCTGATAAGCAAGGAAAAAAGAATTGCAGCAGCAGTTTGCCTACGAGCTCCTGATTCCTTCAAACTGTAGAATCAGGGTTTTGATGCGAGACAGCTTCTGGTGGAGGTATTCACAGGGATTCTTCTCCTGCTGGTAGCTAGGATAAGTCTGGAGGGAAAAAAGAAATAGATCTATGGATCAGCTCCAGGAGGGAACCCAGTCCCTGCTCTGCAGCCAGCAGCCAGCCTCACCTTCTTGAAGTGGCTGTACTCGGGCACGATTGTAGCTTCAAGTGCCTGAAACCCAAAAGGAACAGGTGAGCAGAACCAGAGCATGGCAGTATTGTGCCATCATGCCCCGCGTCTCCCACTTGCCTTGTGTTCATCTGTCCTTGTTTCAAAGTCTTCATTCTGGCTCCCAGCTGAATGAATTTCTGGCTCACGTTACCAATGCGAGCGTGCAGATTGCGGTGCTCTGTAGTCTGTGCTAAGTGCTGCCTTGTAAGCTCTGCACTGCTCCGCTGAGCAGATGGTGTGGTATTTTCTGCAGCAACCAGGAGAAGCTGGTTCTCCCGGGCAGCAGAGCAGAGCCCATGCTCTTGGTGGGGTGGGGGGCTGGCAGTGCTATGGGGTCTGGCACGAGGGGTGCAGAGCGGGCAGGGCTGTGCCCTGGGAGGTGAGGCAGGCAGCGCGTCTCGGCCTGACCGATGCTGTGGGGCCGGGCCAAATTACAGGGAGCGACAGGGAGCCCCGTGGCAGCGAGTGCCGAGCTCTTACCGCAAGTAATCTGGGATCTCTGCGGAGGAGGAGCTGCTAGCCTGGGGCCTGGCATCTGGGAAGGAGCGGAAGATCACGAGGGTTAAAGCCCTCTGGAGCACCTCTCCTTTACCTCAGCAAGGACCTGGCCCACCCGTGGAAAAGCCCTGTAAAACCGAGCTTGCAGTTGCGTGGTTCTGGTGGGAGCTCCAGGGGCTTTTTGGGGAGCCCCAGGGTCTGGCGGTGTGCAGGGCGCAGGCTCTGCCCTGCTTAGCCCCACAACTGCAGCAGAGACGGTCTCAGGCCAACGAGGCTGGGTGATTCACCCAGACTTGGACGGTCCCTGTGTTTGCCCTGGCCTCCTGGCCAAAGCCTCTCTGCTTGCCAGGAGTCCTGTTTTGGGCCACCCACCTCCTCCCAGGGCACCCTGGGGTCTGGTACAGCTTCTGTTGCATGAGCTGGCAGGGCTGTGCGCCCCAGGACAGCCCCTCACCTCTGGGGCCAGAGGTGCTGCTCTAGGCATGGGGGACACTCGTCCCAGTCATCGCCTGCCGCCTCCTCGCTCTCGGAGCTCTCCAGCTCCCCAGCGTGGCTGCGGGCCCAGTGCTCCTGGTGCTGAGCAGCGGTGGGCAGCTCTGGTGCCACCCTCACGAGCCAGGGTTGGACACTGGACCTGGGACCTCTCGCTGGCTCTCAGATCTGAGATATCCAGCAGCGCCCGGCACTTCTGGGAACAAACCCACTCTGCTGAAAGCCTGTCCGGGGCCCCTCTGCCCAGACCTGGTGCTGCAGGGCCCCCTGCCAGCTTCAGCCCACGGCTGCTGCATCCCTTGCTTCATGTCAGTGCTCAGGCGTGCCCTGTCCTCTGGGCTGTACCGGGGGGTCACAGCAGGGCCATCCCCCCACTGCTGCGGGGTCCCAGGGGTGGCTGGGACACAAGGCAGGGGCAGAGTCCAGAGCGCTGGAGCGTTTGGGCTGGGGGGGTAAAGGGGGCTTTTCTGGGAAAGAGGCACAAAGAGGAAGAAGCCTGATGCCTTAAGGAAGCAGCTACACTGAACCAGGCCCTACCCACCTACACATCCTGGAGGGCTTTCTGCTGCCTGAGCTCAAGAGCACTTATCACCCCCGAGAAGGTTTCTGGCCTGAGGGGAGTCATGTTCCAGAGGCACCAGGAAGGATGCAGCCAAGGGTCTGTGTTCCTGGCTGGGACACAAGAGACAGCAGAGACCAAAAAGCAGAGCTGGGGAAAGCGTCTCCAAACACCAAGTGCCCGGGCAGCGGAGGCGTGGGTCCAGCTGAGTACCCAGGAGTAAATGCATTGTGCCTGTGGCCAAACCCCAGCGGCAATCAAGCACCCCCCAAGCCCTGTTGCTCTCACTGCTGCTTGCCCCTGGGCCCTGGCTCTGCCAGGCTTTGAAGAGACTCCCTGGGGCTGGCTGTGGCAGGCCTGTGGTTCCCTGCTCTTGGGCACATGGCAGCCACAGCCCTTCCCTGGCAGGCCAGTCACGCCGGTTTTCTTGGGAGCAGCGATGCCTTTGCCTGAGGACACATCTGGACAGAATGGGGTCAGCCCCTGGGGAGGATCACACCAGGCTCTGCTTCCCTCCCCCCATCAGTGCTGTCACACAGCCCCCCAAGCCCTTGCATCCCCAGCCTGCCTCTCCCCACCCCCCCCACCCCCCAGTTACGGGACAGACACACTGTACAGCTCTCCCAGTGCCACTGCTCCCTCCCATCACTGGTGCAGCCTGAGACCCCCAGATGTGCAGAGCTGCCGCCCTGGTCATGGTAAGCAGCTGTCACTGCAGCCCAGGGCCAGCTGGTCCTGGAGCAGGCAGCACTGCCACCCTCAGGGGAGAGCAGGGCCCCCCCGCAGCCATCAAACCCCAGCCTGGTGGGGAGTGGGGGCTCAGCACCCACTGTCATTTGGGCCAGTGCCACCCATGGCACCCCACTAATTGTAGCTAAGCACAGCTGGATTGGGCTCACCAACTGCTCTGCTGCCGGGGTTCCTTTGACGGGATGCAGGCTCCTGCAGCACTGGGCAGCTGCTCTCCCAGGCACAGACTGGGATTTTCTCCTGGATGATGCCCAGCCAGCCCTGGCCCAGCCCAGGAGAAGACACCACCTCCTGCCAGCTGAGCCCAGCCCAGCCTGCTCCCCCCGGCCCCGTGCGATGCCCGAAGAGGGCCTTGCAAGGTGGGTACTCTGAGCAAGCACAGGAGAAGGGAGTCTGTTCCCAGACTGTCTCCGAAGGTCCCGTCTCCAGGGCTGTGCTGCCCCAGCACTCCGGATGCCCCTCTGGGCACTGGGAGCTCAGGATGCTGTGAGCTCAGGGAGGCCATCGGGGGCTTTTACACCCCGAAAACACTGGGCTGCTTGGAGAGTGGGGAAGAACCCAGTGGGTGGGAGCCAGCACCCCAGGGCTGTGCTCCCACCCAGCCATGTCCACGGCCCCACCAGTGGGAGCAGGGCTGGAGCTGACCCCGAGACAGTGCCACTGGCACAGCCCCGAGCACAGAGGGACTGGAGGGATGGCGCCGGGATCACGGGGGTCCGGCAGGCTCATTGGGACACAGCCAGCCACACAGGCTTGAAGTTGGCCCCTGGCTCGTCCCGGCTGCGGTGGGAGGAGATGGTGAGGAGCCGCCGAGGGGTCCCGGGGTCTCCTGGTACCATCAGGCACTGCCAGCAGGACGAGCCGTCGGGGCCGCGGACACCCCAAGCATCCCCGACCTTCGGGGCGCGGCGAATCCACCCCGTGATGGCGCCCGCCGCCCCCTGCACCCACCGGCCCGGCCCGCGGGGACCTGTCCTGTCCCTCCGATGTCGCCGGGCCCCCGGTTGCCCCGGCCCGGTTTCTCCGAGGCAGGTCACCCCACGCCGTGGCCGCCCTGGGTTCCCCGGTTCCATCCCACCCGCAGCCCCGGTACCGGAGCCACCCGTGCAGCTCCGTCCGCGGCCGCGGTACGGCCCGGAGTCCGGGAGCGCGGCGGGGCGATCCCGGGGGCAGCGGTGGGGCGGGGCGGCGAGATCTCCGCCGGGGAACTCGCCCTGAGCCGGCTATTTTTGCCGCCGGCCCGGGCTAATCCCCAGAGCCACCTCCCGGCATTAGGTAACGGCGCGGCGGGATGCGCTCGGCGGCGGCCCCGGCGTGCCCGGTGCGGGCCGGGGGCCGCGGGCGCCCGCCGCCGAGCCCCGGGAGGGCCCGGCCCGAGGCCGGCTGGTAGTGGCGGGCGGAGAGGCGGGCCGGGGGCGGGCATGCCGGGACCCTCGCCCGGCAGCTCCCCGGAGAGGCAGGCGGGGGCCGGAGGGCGGCCGCGGGGGCCCGGCCGGGGCCGGCGGGTGCGGTTCCGCCTGCTTCCCACCGCCATCGCGCTGCCGTCGGTGCGCGAAGAGGAGCGGCTCTTCTACCGGCGGCTGGAGGCGCTGGCGGCCCCGGGCCCCGGCGGCTTCGGGCCGCTCTTCGCGGCCGACGGTTGGAGCGACCTGACGGGTGAGCAGCCGCGGGGAGGGGTACCGGGCCCCGGGGGTCCCGGAGCGGCTCTGAGGGCCGCCTCTACCCGCAGAGGACCGGCTGCTGCGGAAACGCGTGGTGCAGGACGGGCGGGGCGGGCCGAGGCCGCGGCCGGGCCAGGAGGTGTCGGTGAAGGTGCTGGGCGCGCTGGAGGACGGAGGGCTGGTGGAGCGGGACCCGCGGCTCACCTTCGTGCTGGGCCACGGCGACGTGGTGCAGGTCAGCCCCGGCCGGGGCGCGGCGTGGGCGGAACGTCGCCCGGTGCCGCGCCCGGCCAGCCCCGCCGTGCCCGCGTCCGCAGGCCCTGGAGCTGGGTGTCCCCACCATGCAGCCCGGGGAGATCTCCTTCTTCCTCGCCGCGTTCCCCTACGGCTACGGCCGCCCGGGCAGGTAGGGCGGGCAGGGGCCGGGAAGGCAGAAGAAAGGGCCAGGAGGGCAGAAGGGGCCGCGGGAGCCGCGGCGGGCAGGAGGGCAGGGGTAGGGGGGCAGGGGCAGCCGGCACTGTGCCTGCAGGGAGCCCGACGTGCCGCCCGAGGCGCCGCTGCTGTTCGAGGTGACGCTGCTGGAGGTGCGGGACGGCCCCGACGGGCAGCTGCTGCTGCCTGCCGCTCGCCTGCTCCTGGGCGCGCAGCGGAGGCAGCGGGGCAACTTCCACTTCGCGCGGGGCGACTTCGCGGCAGCGCTGCGCTCCTACGGCCTGGCCCTGCGAGCCCTCGACGGCCCCGCCGCCGGTGAGAGAGGGCGGGGCGGGGGGGCCGGGGCTGAGAGGAGCCGGGGGTGCTGAGGCCGCGATCGCCCCGCAGCACCCCCCGGGCCACAGGAGGAAGAGGAGCTGCGGGAGCAGCGCGTCAAGTGCCTCAACAACTGCGCGGCAGCCGAGCTGAAGCTGCAGCGGGCGGGCGAGGCGCTGGCGGCCTGCGAGGCAGCTCTGCGCATCAGCCCTGAGAACGGCCGAGCGCTGCTCCGCCGGGGGCAGGTGGGCCCCGCACCGCCCCCCGCCGCCCCCCGCCGCGGCCGCCCGCCACCGCCCGCTCCTCTCCCCGCAGCTCCTGGCGCAGCAGGGCCGGGACGCGGAGGCCGCGCTCGTCCTCAGGAGAGCCCTGGAGCTGGACCCGGCCAGCAAGGTGCGGCCGGCGGGGCGGGCGGGAGCGGCGGGGCGGGCGGGAGCCCGGCTCGGGGAGCGCCGCCGGTGCTGCCGGGGCCCTGCCCGCCGCAGCCTCCCCGCCGCCCGCAGGTGATCCACGCCGAGCTCTCACGGCTGGTGAAGCGCCGGGGCCCCCCGGCCCACCCCGCTCCGCAGGAGCCCCTGCAGGGCCCGACGCCGCCGCCGAGCCCCGGGTGGGTAGGCGCGCCAGCGGACCGGGCCGCGCGGGGACGGACCGGCGTGGGGCCAGGCGCGCCGCGGGCGCTGACGGCGGTCCGTCCCCGCAGAGCCCCGGAACCACCCGCGGCGGAAGGAGCGGGCTGAGCAGCCCCGCGGAGCCCGCCCGGAGGAGCCGTCCCGCCGGGGATGGAGGAGAAGCTGCGGTGCCGCCCACGGCGCCGGGCCGAGGAGCGGGAAAAGCGCCCGCGCCCCGCTCTGCGGCCGCGCCTGTGCTGTGCCGTGCCGTGCCGTGCGGTGCCGTGCCGTGCTGTGCCGTGCCGTCCCGTCCCGTCCCGTCCCGGCGCTCCCGGCCCCGGCCCCGGCCCCGGCCTCAGCCCCGCCCCCCGCTCCCGTGGCCACGCCTCATCTGCTGCGTCACGGCTCCCCCCCTGCCCCGCCCCGCCCCCTGGCGCGTGGGCGCGGCTCCGGCGCCTGCGCCCCAGCTTCCGGCTTTTTCGCCCCCGCCGGCAGAACGGCGGCCGTGTAGCCCGCGGCCAATCAAGCGGGGCGTAGCCGGAGCGGTGCACCAATAGGAAGGCGGCGGGGGCGGGCGCGGCGCCGCGATTGGCCGCGCCGCGGCCTTAAAGAGCGGCGCGGGGCGGGGCGCGGGGGGGGGGGTCAGTGCGGGACGTGGCGGCGGAGCGGCGGGCGGGAGGCAGCGGCGCCATGACCCGTGAGTGCGGGCCGCGCCGGGGGGAGCGGGGCCGCGACCCGCCCGGGGGGACGGGAACGGGGGCGGGGGCGGGGGCGGGGGGGCGGTGCCGCCGCGACGCGCGATCGCGGGGCCGGGGGCGCGGGCTGGGCCGCGGGGCCGGGCCCGGGCGCTCGGGCCGGGCCCGCGGGCCGGGCCGTTCTGAGGCGGCCGCGCCGTCGCAGGCGGGAACCAGCGCGAACTGGCGCGGCAGAAGAACCTGAAGAAGCAGAGCGACTCGGGCAAGGGCAAGCGGCGGGACGACGGGCTCTCGGCCGCCGCCCGCAAGCAGAGGTGAGCACCGGGCCGGGACCGCCGCCCCCCCCCCCTTCCCGGTCCCCCCCCCCGGTGTCGGTACCGTGCCAGCCCGGCGACGCGCTCTCCCGCAGGGACTCGGAGATCATGCAGCAGAAGCAGAAGAAGGCCGACGAGAAGAAGGAGGGCGCCAAGTAGCCCCGGGCCGGGCCGGGCCGCCGCCGCCCCGGGGCCGGGCCGCCCGCCGGCAGGATGCCCAGCGCAGCCCCGGGGCCGGGCCGCCTCGCTGGGGACCCCGGCAGCGCCCCGCGCCCCTCTCGGGTCCGTCTCCTATTAAAGTAGCTTGTGGAGCCCTGCAGGCCCCGTCTCCTCCCTCCGTGCGCCCGGGCGGGGGGTCTGGGGCTGCCTGGGGAGCGGGCGGGGGGCACGGCCGCCGCGCCCCCCCCGGCCAGGAGGGACCGTTCGTGCCGGTGAAGAGGAGGGATGGCCTGAGCCGCGGGTGTTGTGGTACGGAGCGGCTGCATCTTCATGGTGAGGAGCAAAGATACGGGGCCTGGCTGGGGGGGGGTGTCTCCGTGGACATCGCCTGCGGGGTGGGAGCCGCCCGTGGGACCCCGAGTGCAGCTGCGGGCGGGTGGGACCCCCGGGGTCAAGGTGTGGGCTGGGGGAGGTGAGGGGAGGAGGGGGATTGCTGCAAGCCCGGAGGGATGGAACCAGGAGAGGGCTGCACTGGAGAGGGACAGGTTGCAGCGAGGGAGAGGAGGGCGGGGGGCTGCTCCTGGGGAGATGATGTGGGTCTGGGGGGGAAGGCGGCCGCGCCTGCCCACGGGCTGAGCTGTTCCTGCAGCCAGCGGGCCCAGCAGGAGCTGAAGCGGGGTGAGCTGCCGGCTCCGCGGCGTCTCTGGGCGCCATCGCAGTGGGGGGGCTGCGGGTGCAGAGGACGTGACGCCGGCAGCCGGCCCATCTCCTGCGCTGGGCCCAGCAGCAGCGCGGAGCTGCCCAAGGGGGGACGCTGAGCTCTGGGCCGGTGCTGCGGCCTCGGCTCCCCCCCTCCCTCCCCTCCGCTTCCCCGCGGGTCCCGCCGCCCCGGCAGGATGGAGCCCGGTGGAGCTGGGCGCTGCGGCGAGCAGGGCTCTGCGCCGGGCGAGGCGCAGCACCACCAGCACTCTGCTGGTACCGTCCTTGGCACTGGTCTCGCAGAGTGGGGAGCAGCGGGCGGTGGTGGGGTGCCAGGGGCTCGCTGTGGGCTGTGTGGACCCCCACTGCCCCTGGCAGGCCTGGCCGCAGGTCTGTTTTGTTCCCCACCAGCGTGAGTGGCAGCGGCCCCTCGGCCTGTGGGAGGGAAGGGTGGCTCAGGGCTCGGTGGGGCTGGCAGACTCCAGCCCTGCCGTGGCCCATCTCCTCCGCCGGCCGCAGAGCTCTGCACACACCGGCTGTCTCCTGTCACACCTGGGCCGTGCCCAGGAGCAGAGTGTGGTTCCAGACCTGACACAACACCAGCAAAAGGGAAAGGCTGGGGGGAAGCGCTCCTGCTGGTCCCCTGCCTTGCTTAGCAAGCAGCCCAGCTCGCTCCTGTCTCATTCCTGCTCCCCCTGGACCGTCTGGAGTGCAGCCCAGCCCTCCCCAAGGAAGCCCCAAAGCTTTTGCCCCTCTCCATGGGGCTGGGTGCCTGTCGGACCTTTCCCGCTACCTCGATGTCCTCAGTCCAGCAGCAGACGCTGCGGAAGCTGCTCGGGGAGCTGATGTAGAGGAGCAGCACACTGTGGGCTTTGTGGAAGTAGGACTGGGTGATGCTCTGGGGCCTGTAAGGCATTTTGCTGCTTTATCTGGAAGGTCATCACGCCTGCTGCGAGGGACAGTCGGGTGCTGTTCTGTGCCTCTGCCCTGGCTGGGGTGCTTCGGGGGGTTGTGGGATACCCAAGGGGGCTGGAGCTGTCCCCTCTGAACTCATTTGTGCAGAGGTGTGTTATGAAGCTGGACTTCCCTGTGCCCCCACCCCCTGCCAGCACCAGCTGGTACATGGGGTGGGGAGTGTGGGTTCCTCTCTTCTCTCGCACCCCTGGGCAGACGAGCAGCAGTGGGGTGCTGGCACAGGGTGTGAGTGTGCCCCGGCTCCCCCCAACCTGCCGCTCTGCACCAGAGGGGGAGCTACTGGTTACCCCTACCATGAAAGCAGGAAGCTTCCTCTTGCCGAGGTGCCTGGCAGAGCTGTGCTGTCCCTCTGCCTTGTCTCTTGGGGGGCTGGGGGCTTGCTGGGTGACAGACACCATGGTGAGGGGCCTGACCCCAGGAGATGTGGGCAAGCAGACCGGGGTGCTGGGCCAGGGACAGATCCCTCACCACTGTCCCCTAGTGGGAACTGGGGAGAGGCTCGTCCTCTGAGCTGTGGCTGCTGAGCGAGGTGCCAGGGCGGGGGGCACAGCCGGGGCTGCCCCTCCATCACTGGCCTGCTGTGGGTGGCAAGGGGGCTGCGCAGCTGGGTTGGGGGGGATGGCTGTGGGGCAGAAGGCATTTGGCACTGAGGCACCCTGTTAGGGGGTGCCTGGGGGGGGGCTCTGGGTCCCAGAGTGCCAGCAGCAGCCCGGGGGCTGGGGGTGCTGGCAGGGTGAGTGAGGGCAGCCTGGACCTGCGCCCTCAGCTGGCACAGGGGCTGTGTGGGACCCCCTAGCCCTGCAGGCACCCCATGCCTGGGGTGGCTGGGGACCCCCACGGACACCCAGTGTCACAGGGCTTGGAGGGATGTGCCAGCAGCTCTGAGCAGGCTGCCCAGCTGCCTGTGCTCACCATGGGGCCGAGCGTGGCAGTGTTGCCCCAACAGGCGCCTGGCCCCCCCCCCAACAGTAGCAGGGCAGGCAGGAGTGTGTGGGGTCTGGCAGAGCCCCCCTGGCTGCTGGGCTGTGTGCGGGCAGGGTCTCCTGCAGAGCTGGGGACATCCCTACTGTCTGTGGGTCCCCGACAGCCCCGGCTTACTCCAGTAACCATACTGGTACCCCCACCCAGTGCCTCTGGCTCCCCCCAGTCTCCCCTCCTGCCAGGCCTGCTGAGGAACTGGGTGTTGGTGTCTGAGGGGGGCTCTGTCCATCTGTCTGCCTGTCCATCCATCCTCCGCGGGGCTTTGCTTAGTTGCAGAGAGTGGACGGGCTGGAGGGGGGCCTGGGCGCGCTGTGCCCCCGTTCCCAGGGAGAGGGGAGGCTGCTGTGGTGGGACGGGACAGGAGGAGCTGGAGCCAGGGCTGCACATTGTGCTCATGGGACCCCACCGTCTGGCATTGTCCCCAGTGTCCTGGGGCAGGTCCTTAGCCAGGGGGCTCAGCTGGGCCAGGCGGGTGTCCTGATGGCTCGCAAGCACCTTTCGGGCCAGTGCCCCCAGCATCGCATCATGCTGGACCCTCCCTGCGTCCTGGGGGAGGCTGGGTCCTGAGCTGGGGGCGTGCTGGGAGCACCGGCTACAGGCTGAATGCCCTCCTGGAGCCCTGGACCCTCAGCCAGCGCTCCCTGCCCTGCCACCTCCCTGTTTGTCCCCCCGCTCCAGCACAGCCACCCCGAAAGCACCGTTGGCCACGGCTGCCGCATGGACGAGGCCGGTGCTGGGGCTCTGCGGGCACCTCCGTGCCCACCCGCACGGCTGCAGCCTGCGCGGGGGCGGACGGCACAGGCTCAGCTCAGAGTTTTATATAAAAATGTATTTAAGGAGCTATTTACAACGAGTGCACTGCCAGCGAGTGAGCTGAGACGTGGAGGCAGCTGGGGCAGAGCCCCGCTCGCCAGGCTGGCCCTGGGCTAGGGCAGGAGCTGCCTCCCTGCCTGGAGGGAGCCTGGCAGTAGCCAGGGCTGAGCACTGGCCACCCCGGCTTGCTTTGGGTGGCCACAGCCCAGTGCAGGACCTGTGTCGCCGGGAGCACCCACCTCCTGGGTCCCCCTCAGGCTCTCCGATGCTGCCATCTCCTGGGACAGGGCATCAGGGGAGGCTGGCGGGACCCGGCGGGGCCAGGGCACAAGCACCGGGCATGGCAGGGACCAGCCCCGGCTGCTGCCGCCGTGTGCGGGGACGGGCACAGTCCGTCTCAGCAGGGACTACGTGGAGACGCTGACGCGCTGCGGGACGCGCCGTCGGCGCAGGACGCGCGGGACCGGGCTGCTGCGGCGGTGCGGGGGGGATCCGCGGGGGCAAAGGGGGCTCAGCAGCAGCCACAGGTAGAGCAGGACGCAGGCCCAGCACGAGGACACCTTCACCCAGAAGGTCGACCAACTGCCGTGCGTGAAGGTGGTCTCCAGCACCGCGGTCTCGTAGCTGGTGGGACAGGGCAGGCGTTGGGCGCCTGCGGGACGCCGATACGGGGGGATCCCGGTGCCGGCTGCGGTCACCCCATGTCCCGGCAGCTGCGGGTCCCTGGGCACACCCACGGAGCCCCCCCGGCCCTGCAGACCCCGGCCCATCTCGCTGCAGCCGTTGGCGGGGGCTGTTGGTTGGAGCGGTGGGGGTCTGCGGGTGCAGAGCCATGTGCTTCCCCCGCCGGCACCAGCTTGGTGACACCGGCATGGCCCGGAGCAGAGGGTGGTGAGGAGCGGAATGCCGCAGCCTGAGCCCGCGCTGGGAGCGGGTCGGAGCTGGCGGGGCGATGGTGCCGGGGGGGTGACGGCGCTGGGAGGGCTGCAGTCCAGGCTGGGCGGCTGCAGTAGCAAGAGGGAAGGGGGAGCGAGAGCAAGGAGGGCTGGGCAGCAGCCCGGGGCCCTACCTGAACCAGTTGGTGAGGGTCATCATGACGTAGAGTGAGGCGAGGAAGAAGACGAAGTGGAAGGCTGAGTAGCTGTAGACCACCCGTTCTCGCTCGTCCTGGATGATGCACTGTCCCTCAGCGATCTCCTCTGCTTGCTCACACGGCAGCGTGGCGCCTGGGAGAGCACAGGGGCACAGTGGCTCCTGCACCCCCCTCCTCACCAGCACCCTCAAGCCGGGACACAGGCGCCCGAGCACAGGTCACCCAGCACCCACCCTGCACCCACCTCTCAGCTCCTCCTCCATCTTCTCGGGGCAGCAGAAGCAACAGGAGGGTTTCTGCAGCGAGAGAGCAGCGTGGTGGCAAACTACTGCCGGGGCAGGGCAGCCCAGCCCCACAGCTGCTGGGCTGAGCACCGCCGCAGGATCCGGCCCTGCCTGGCTCCGAGGAGCTGGTGCAAGCGGGGGGGTGCGCCGTGGGAAGCCCCCCAGGCTTGGCTGGACGAACCTGCCCCGGGATGGGGGACTGGGGCAGCAGGTCTGGGGTGCCCGTGGCAGGAGGGCACGGGGCACACCTGGCGGGGGGAGCATCCGTACTCACTCTAAACTCGAAGCTGTAGACTTTGACCATCCAGAAGGGCCCGAAGATCTCGGCGAGGTAGGAGGCTTCATTACTGCGCCCGGGAGAGAGGCAGATTCGGTGACATGGGCACCCACCACCCTGTGCCAGGCCCGCAGCCCGCCCCACGGATCTGACAGACATCCCCCGGCTGTGCTGGCCGTGCCACAGGCTGGGGACAGGGTCCCCGCCGGGCTGGCTGTGCCCGGGAGGGACGGTGCTGCAGGCGCCCTGCCTGCCCCGCGCCGCGGGCACACGCACCATGCGAAGAGCACGCAGGCGTACATGATGGCAGCCCCCAGGACGGCGACGGTGGTGTCGTCAGTCTGCAGCTCGTCCCGCCGGACGCCCGGGAAGCAGAGCGTGAGGTTCTGCCCCTTGTAGAGCACTGTGGGGAGGCGGAGGTGAGATGGGCGAGCACCCCAGCGGGGAGGGCTGCTGGCGGTGGGTGGGAGCACCCACCTCTCTCCGGGGGACGGCTGGACAGCGCGGAGAAGGTGAGGTACATCACGTAGCAGCTGATGATCGAGGACTGCAGCAGTCCTGACCGCGGCTGCTCTGCAAGGGTGGGGGGGTCACAGCTGCTGTCACAGCCCCCGGCATGCCACGAGCTGGAGGAGGGGCTCCACGCGGGCCCTGGGCAGCCCCCTCCCACCACTCCCGTGCCCAACGCCCTGCGCCGAGGCTCAGGCGGAGCTGGCGGGAGCCCTGGGGAGTTGGGTCCACCCTGGGTGTCCGAGTGCTGTCCCTGGGCTGGGACCCCCCCAGCCCCAGGACGTGGCCAGCCCTGCGACGCGGTGGCCCACGCCACGCGGTACTCACTGAGCCGCACACAGGGCGTGATGGAAATGAAGGACACGATGCCGCAGAGGCTGCCGTTGACGGTGAGCAGCACCTTGTTGAGGAGGCAGGCGGCCGGGTGGGTGTAGTAAGTGTAGAGGAAGGTGAAGGCGGCGGAGGCAAGGGTGTAGAAGGCGGCCGTGGCCAGCAGCACGGCCAGGTACCAGCGCTTGTCCTGCGCAGCGCCCGTCAGCCTGCCGGGAGAGCGGGTGAGGGCCAGCAGCGGGCAGGCGCCCGCCCGGCACCCCGGCACTCACCAGTTCTTGTTCCAGGTGTGTGCAAAGGCGGTGATCAGCACCAGCTGGATGAGGATGAAGGTGAAGCCCCCGCAGACGCCCGTGTAGTGCCAGACTGGGGGGAGAGGGCAGAGGGAGGGCTAGCACAAGGGAGGGACACTCAGGGGCCCGGGATGCCAGCTTGGGCAGGGTGGGGGACACACCTTGGATGAAGCCATCCTCGGGGATGAAGAAGCTGGCGGCCCAGAGCCCCACCAGGACCAGCAGCTTCAGGAACCAAAACCTGCGGGGCAGCGAGCGTCAGGGAGACGGGGCCCCCGGTAGCCCCCGTCCCTGGGCAGCCCGCCCCGGCCCCACGCCCCGGCCCCACGCCCCGGCCCTGTACCCGTTGTGGAGCTGAGCGCGGCAGTCGGTGCTGGAGCGCACGTTGAGCAGCAGGGCAGCCTGCGCCAGGTGGAAGCAGGCGGTGCCGAAGCAGACCCGGTACACGGCCGAGGAGCCCACCAGCCGCTCGCAGTCTGTGCCGCCAGGCAGGTGGTCGCACAGCACCACCGAGAAGGGCACCTGCAGGTACGGAGAGCGACGGGACGGGGGTGCTGGCGTGCCCAGCACCCCTTGGCACCAACGGGATCCAGCACCCGTGGGCTCCTGACACCCCCAGCAGTCCCAGTACCTTCTCTATCCCCAATACCCCTGGGACCCTCAGCACACCCAGCATGCTGGGCATCTCCGGCACTCCTGGACACCCCTTCCTCCTGGGCACCTCCAGCACCCTTGGCACTCCCAGCAGCCCTGTTACTCCCAGTATCCCCAGCGTCCCAGTACTCTTGACACCCCAGGCAATTCTGGCGCCTCCAGTGTTCCCGGGACCCCTAAATGCCCCTGGGATGCCTGGCACCCGGCACCTCCAGCGCCCTTGGGACCTCCAGCACCCCCAGCACTTATGGTACCCCTGGGGCTCCCAGTGCCCCTGCCACCCCTGGCATCCCAGCACCCTGGGTGTCCCAGCTCCCACCATCACCTTCTCCCTGATGACCTGGGCCACAGTGCGGGACAGCATGAGGCAGCACACGGCAGAGGCCAGGACATGCAGGAGCGTATAGAGGATGCGGGTGCCCGTGGACAGGCGGAGCCCGCGGCAGGATCTGCAGCCACAACCGCAGCACAGCTGGGGGGAGCATGGTCAGAGGGGACCCCGCTGGGCCAGAGCTGCCACCCAGCCTGGCCTGGCCCCCCCAGCCCAGTCCAGCCCCCACCAGTCCCCTCAGTCCCACCTGGCAGAGCACTGAGTGCAGGATGCGGCCGTGTGTCCGTGTGCCCGCCATGTCCCAGCTCGGCTCTGCCCCTGCCCTGATGGGATTAGGGGGATTTTCGGCTCGGCCCGCCCCACCATCTGCTCGCTGCTACCTCCCGGCAGGCCCCCCCAGCCGCTCTGTGGGGAGCCTGTTCAGGGCCCACCAGTGACTCCTGGCTATGAGGACCCCTGCCTGGGGCCCTGGCCCCTCACTGGCAGGATGAGGCCACGGCAGCCAGCTTGGGGACAGGCGCACACGGGGTGCTGTCCCCTGCACGGCGATGGCTGGTCCCAGAAGGGTGCCTCGCAGTGTGACTGGGGGGCGTGGGGGTACCAACATGTTTGGGCTGCGGCTGCGCAGGGCTCACCCAGCGCCGAGGCTCTCACCCTTCCCTTCCTCCCTGTCCTGGGTTGAGTGAGTGGTGGAGTTTTTTGGTGGCAGGGGAGGGGGCTATCGGGGCGGCCCCCTGTGAGAAGCTTCTCGAAGCTCCCCCAGCTCCACGTCAGCTCCACTTCTGTTTGGGAAATTGAGCCAATCGGCTGCACCTCTGCGATAACGTATTTAAGAAGGGACGTGGTGACGAGCAGTGGGACTGGTGAGGAGGAGTTGCTGCAGCTGCGTGAACACCAAGGTCAGTGGAGGAACGGAGGAAGAAAGGAGGGGGGAGGTGTGCCGGAGCAGAGACCCCCCTGTATCCTGTGGGGAGACGGCAGGGCGGCCCCCCCCTGCCACCCATGGAGATCTACGGTGGAGCAGACATTGATTTACAGCCTGTTGTTCCTGCTCGGATGATCAAGGTTCTGTGCCCGAAGAAGGCTGGGGTCTCATGGGAAAAGGCAGCCCCGCTGCTGTAATTCAGTGCTGGGAGGATTGCAGCATGCGGGGGAGTCCCACGCCGGAGCAGCTCGGGAAGGGCTGCAGCCGTGGGAGGGAATCCAGTCGGAGGAAGTTAGTGACCCATGACGGAGCAGTGTGGGGAACGCTGCGGCCCGTGGGAGGGACTCAAGTCGGAGAAAGTTTGTGGAGGACTGTCTTCTGTGAGAGGGGGACCACGATGGAGCAGGGGGTAACAAGTTTTGGACACTCCCCTCACCGAAGATGAAGGAAGTGGCAGCGCTGATTGCAGCCCCCATTCCCTGCCCCTGCGCCACTGGGGGAGGAGGTAGAGATATCGGGAGCAGAGCTGAGCCCGGGAAGAAGGGAGGGGTGGGGGGAAGGTGTTCTCAAGATGTGGCAATGCTTCTCACTGTCCTGCTCTGTTACGTGTTGTTAGTGTCTGTAATAAATGTATGTTCTTTTTTTTCTTCCCCTAACAAGTCTGCCTTTTGCTTGCGATCATAAAAGGGGGATTTTCCCCCATCCCAGTCCTATCTTGAGCCCCAAGCCTGGCTCTCTGTCCCTTCCCATTGCTGGAGGGGAAGGGAGAGAGAGCTGCTGCATTGTGGTTGGCTGCCAACCAGGCCTAAACCGCGACACTCCCCCGCAGCGAGGAGGCCGGGGTGGGCAGGAGGCGGGGGGGACGGAGCTGGGACAGCTGACCCAGTGGCCAAAGGGGCCCGTGGCGGTGAGACCGCAGGCAGAGGCAGAGGAAGGGTTTTGGCTCCCAGTGTGGCTGCTGCTTGGAGACTGGTTGGGCTCCCGGCTGCTGGTGGGAGGCCATGAAAGACTGCCTTTACAGTGCTGGGGTTTGCTTTATTTTCCCCCTTTCCTTCACAGGTTAAAGTGTCTTTCAACTCATGACTTTTTTTTGCTTTTGAGCTTTCCATTCTTCCCACTGCTCCCACCTGGGCACCCAGCCCTGCGGGGCGAGCACAGAGCTGCCACCGTGGTTTGTCCCCCGAGGTCCACGGCAGTGCTGAGACGGCAGCAGGGCTGGCCCCGGCTGCTGCGCGGGGAGGAACGTTCCCGGCACCGGCAGCCCGGTGTGGCCACGCACGGCAGGGCCCCTCACACCCACACGAACACCCACTGCCTCACAGCCGCCCCGGGCACGGACATGTCCCTCTGCCACGCACCTGGGTCTGCCTGTCCTTGTGCCTTCGGTGGCCAAGCCTCGTCTCCTGCCCCACTCACAGTGGCACAGGGACCCGCGTGGGAAGGGCTCCCTGCCCCACGGCACCCCGAGGTGCTGGAGCCCCGCAGCGTGGGGGGCGGCCGCGGGTACAGTCTGTGCCGCCCGGGCGCCCGGGCCCACGCACGGCCCGGGGAGGCCGGTCCCGTCCTCCCGTCGCGTGTGATCACGGCGGGAGCCAGATCGGGAACCCCTAACCCCCTAACCCTCTGACTGGCTTAGCGCCGGGCACCCCGGGGCCGGCGGGCAGAGCGCGCCCTCCTCCGCCCGGGCCCGCGCCTCGGCGGTGGCAGCGCCCGGCAGCCGCCGCCACCGAGCCCCCCCCCCCCCCCCCCGAGCCCCCCGGGATGCCCGGCCCCGCGGCACCGGCGGGGACCGGCGGGGGGGCGGGGCTTGTCGGCGATGGGGCGGGACCTGGCGGGTAGGGGGCGGGGCCTGGAGGGGACCAACGCCGTGCCCGGCGCCGCGCTGTCCTGCCGGAGCTGCTGCTCGGTGGTTCCGGCGGCCGCACGTGACCGGAAGCGGGGCGCGGCGGCGGCGGCATGGCGGCGGAGGGGGATGTGGAGCTGGAGCTGGAGACGGAGCCCAACGGGTCCGGGGGTAGCGGCGATGGGGCGGGCGGGCGGGCGGCAGAGAAGCCGCGGAAGCACGACAGCGGCGCGGCGGACCTGGAGCGCGTCACGGACTACGCGGAGGAGAAGGAGATCCAGAGCTCCAACCTGGAGACGGTGCGGCGGGCGGGCGGGGCGGGACCGGGACCGGGACCGGGACCGGGACCGGGCCAGGCGCTGCCTGCGGGGCCGGGGCCGAGCCCGTCCCGCCGGGCGCGGCGCTGAGCCGCCCGGTGACCGCGCTCGTCCTGGCAGGCCATGTCGGTGATCGGAGACCGGAGGTCCCGGGAGCAGAAAGCGAAGCAGGAGAGGTAACCGGCCGTGCTCGCCCGGGGCTCCGGGGGCCGTGCCCCTCCCGCGCCGGGTCACCTCCCGGGCCGCGGCTTCCCCGGGAGCGGGGGCCCGGGCTCCTCCCGGGGCGGGGACGGTCACCGGAGCTTTGTCCGTCTCTTGCCGCAGGGAGAAGGAACTGGCAAAAGTGACGATCAAGAAGGAGGACCTGGAGCTGATCGTGAGTAGGGCGGGCGGTGGCACGCCCCAACCCCTCGTCACCAAAGCGGCACCCGGGGCCAGCGCGCCCCTGCCCGCTTGGCCCCGGGATCGGGTGGGCGCACGGCGGGGTGGCCCCCGCTGCCGCCCCCCTCACGGCACTTCCCCCGCAGATGACGGAGATGGAGATCTCGCGGGCGGCAGCGGAGCGCAGCCTGCGCGAGCACATGGGGAACGTGGTGGAGGCGCTCATCGCCCTCACCGACTGAGCGCGGGGCCCGCGGCGTGTTGCGCACCCAATAAAGGCACCGGTGGGACTGGGCTGTCACTGTGGTCGGGGGGGGGGGGATCTGCCTGAGCACCCACACACGCTGCTCATCCTGCTTTTAAAGCACACCCAGGGGCTGCGGCTCCCGCTGCTCTTGGTGCACTTGAGGTCTGACTAGCGGGGCCAGGATTGGGACGAGGGGGGCAGGGAGTGCCTGAGCCCCCCCAGCCCCCATGAGGGGTTTCGTTAACATCCCCATGGGACTGCTGTGTCCCAGGGGCTGCAGCAGGGAACCTCGTGTCTCCCGTCTTTGGAAAGCACTGTTAACATGGTGGGTGGAGCTGCAGCCCCCGGCACAAGGGTGATGGCTACCGTGTCCTCTTCCCAGGCCGGCACATCCCTGAGATGGGCCAGCCCATCCTGGCTCGCAGGAGGCCACACACCATAGCCAGCACAGCCAAAATGTGTAACAAAACAACTGCTTTAATCAAACTGACCCCCCGCCCCCTCCCCCGCACAGGTAGAAAAGCCGAGCCCTGCAGGAACAGGGTGAGGAGACAGGGTCACCACTGTTCCACACCAAAAAAGGGCCCGAAGTGACAGTGAGGAAAGTACAAGCGCTAGGGAGATGCTGTGGACCAGATGGGTATAAAAGTCCGTTAATTCCTCCAAAAGTGGGCGTGCTCCCGCACAGTGCTGTCAGGCACTGCCCAGGCTCTCGCGGCAGCTGCTGGTGGGACTGGTGTGGCTGCGGGCCTGGCCAGCACAGACCGGCCCACATCCTCCACGGTGCCCGGGCAGGGAGCCCACAGGGGCAGGGGAAGGGCTGGCTGGTCACCACACGAGTCCTGGCACAGCGCTGCGTCCCTTCTGTCCCTGCCCAGGCTCCCGGCAGCTGGCAGAGATGCGCCCTCCTGCCCCTACCCTTAAGTGGTTTTTCGCTTCTTGGCTGAGGGTCTCTCAAAGACATCCCGTACGCCCGCTGCTTTCTGCTTAAAGAACTTGGTGTTCTGTGCGCTCTCCTGGCCCCAGGCAGAGTCGAAGGAGGTGGTGTCCTGGTCCACCAAGTGCGTGTACTTCGTCCGCCCCGAGCGCCCAAAGTTCTTGACCTGGGGAGCAGAAGAGCTCGTGAGCAGCTGTCCAGGGAGGATGTGGGGACCTGCTGCTCCCCCTGAGGAACCCCAGCCCCCCAGGGTGGCACGCAATGGGGCACCCTCCAGCCAGCACACCCACCTGCATGACTTTGGGCAGGATGGTCTTGTTGAAGTGGTCCTCGAGGGTCGGGGCGCTGAAGTCCCTCTTGTACACCTCCTCATCCTCATCCTGCAGGAAAGGGACATGCCTGTTCAGCCTGCAAGTCTCCAGAAAGTGCCAGTGCCCAGCACAAGCGGGGAAGAGCCACCAGACGCCAGCGTGGCCGCTCCATGGGGGCTGCCGTGGTGCTTGCAGTGCTGTTAGCCTACTGCTGAACGTGGGGGACACCGGCATTGACCCCCAGGCCTGCCTCTGGTGCCCACCCTCACATCCCCTCAGGCCCCTTCTCCAGAGCCCGGGCTGTAGCCCACACGGAGCTGGTTGGGTTCTGAGTGGGTCCGCTTGCCCTCTCCCACCCGTGTTGGTGTCACCGCTCCTCACCCTCTGCCGCAAGAGCTGGCCGAGTTCAGAGCATTCCCCCTCACTTTGCTGCCTTCAAAAGGCTGGCTCGTCCCAGGGCACCCCCAGCCCCAGAGCACGAGGGTGGGGGGCTCCCCCCCGGCGCCTCGCACAGCCCCTCACGGCACCACTCACCATGAAGAAGGCGCCGCGGTGGTAGTACTTCTGCAGGAACTTGTATTTGCCCTTCACCGCCTTGTTGGTGATGACCTTGCCGTTGGCGCGGAGCTCGGCGCGGCGCTCCTCCTCCGTCAGGTTCCGCATGCGCTCAATCTCTGCCTTCTCCTTCTCCATGCTGGGCAGGAGAGAAACCCCTGAGACCCCGTGTCCCCTCAGCACCCTCCGGGAGAGCTCTTGCTGCCCGAGGGATTGCAGATTTGCTGACTCCGTAGGGGAGCGAAGGCAGCCTGAAGCAGGCAGGAGGGGCTTGGGGCACTCGGTCTAGCTAACACCATGCTGCCAAGGGGAAGCCTGAGGAAGAGGCGCCTCAGCTGCCCACAGAGCCCGGGGCTGTGGGCTCTCAGCCTTCGGTTTATGCCGATGATACTTACGCTTCTCGTTCTTCACGGTCCCGTTTAATACGCTTCAGCTCACGTACTTTCCAAGCCTCATACTCTTCCTCGTCATTCTCATCATCTGTATCAAGTGCGTCCAGTGCTGCCAGTGAGCGCTTGTTCTCCTCCAGCTCCTTCTTCGCTTCCTCTTCCACGATCTGCAGCAAGAACCAAGCTCAGCTTGCTGCAGCAACTGCCCTGCCGCGCCACCGTCAGCCCGCCCCTCGGCACCTTGAGCGTGTACTTGCGCCTCTCCTCTGCCAGCCTCTTTGCCTCCTGCTCCAGCTCCTTCTGCTTCAGGGCCTCTGCTTCTCGCTCCTGAACTGTGATCCGGTCCTTCCTGCAGGCAGGGACCGCAGCAGCCTTCAGCCTCCCTGGGAGCCAGCGCAGCCCCCCTGCAGCCCTGCCCCCCTGCAGCTGCTTTCAGCCTTTGCTCTCTCCAAGGCCGGAGCGAGGCGCTGGGCTCTGCCCTTTCCAGCATCGCCCACGCTGGGGCTGCCACGCTGTTCCCCGACGGCTGCAGTCACCCACGCCAGAGCGAGCCCCCGGCTGCGGGGCACGGCCTCCCGTACCACCATGCAGCACTCGCCCGAGGGTTCAAGGCAGACCCCACTGCAGCTTCGACCCAAAGCCCAATCCCAAGGCAAGTGACGAGGGGCTGGCGGTGCTGGGATGGCCCCTCGCTCCCCAGCTCTGCCCTGCCAGGCTGTGACAGTTGCTTCCCCTCCGGGGAGCCGACCCACCGCCCCACGGTGAGGAAGAGGAGACCACGGCAGTGGCATCTGCTCAGCCCCCAGCTCCCGACTTCCGCGTCCTTGCCCAGGGCTGACCCACACGGCCGTGCCACCCACTTGCGGATGAAGACAGGTTTGAGGCGCGGCTCCATTTCATCCTCGCTGTCCGTGTACTCCTCGTACTCAGACTCTGACTCGGACTCTTCTCCCGATCGACCCTCATCCTCCAACTCCATCACTTCCATCTCCTCGGTTTTTCTCTCCTGTGCTCGCTGACGCATCATCCCGCGCCGACGCTCAATCTCCTAATGGAGACACGCGCGGAGGAGTCAGACCACCAGCCCCGCTACCGCTTCCCTCTCGCTCTTCTGTCAAAAACCCACGATGCCTGGAGTGTTGGCTGCGAGGTGATGCACCCATCCCTCCGCATGCACGGTGGCCTCTCCCAGCGTCCCATCCCACGCAAGAGGACGGTAACCCACCAGTTAAATCACAGCTAGCTATGACACTTGTCCGGCTCCACCAGACAGCACACGCGTCCGTGCAAAAGGCAGCGCCAGCCCGTGCCGTTCAGGGGTTTCCCTCAGCCCATTCTTCAGCTCTGCAAGCGCACCTCATCATCGATCTCTTCCTCCTCCTCTTCGCTGGTGTCCTCCCGCTCCAGGCGCCAAGCTTCCCCCTCCACCTCCGAATCGCTTTCTCCAACCACTTCAGGCTCCACGATTTTACGGTGTCTTGCCAGCCTGCAACAGACCCCAGTTAAACAACGGCACTTGGAACGTAAAGAGGCTGCAAGAAGACGACTACTCATAAATCGTTCCTAATGGGGCTGGGGTGAACGCTGGAACTGCGGAGGGTGGGCAGACCCCAGCGCCCGTGTTCCTTCCCAGGGGCTGGAGTGGCCGGGCACCGGCAGCTCCTCCCGTCCGTGCTCCCCGTGGGAACGGAGCTCCCAGGGGGAAACCTCCCTGTTGCCACACTCACCGCTCCTCCACGTCTTCGGCGATGCGGTTCTGGAGGCGCCGGAGCCGGGGGTCGTTGGCGAGCTCCTCCTCCTGCTCCTCAGGCTCCACCTCCTGCTCCTTCGCCTTCTTGATGAACTGGAACTCCTCATCCTCCTCCTCCGAGGACTCCATGGGCGCGTAGTCGGGCCGCTTCCCCGACACGTACCGCTTCACCTTCACCTTCTCCATGGAGAGCTCGCCTGCGGGCGGCGGGGCCGTCACCGGGGGCCCCGCGGCCGTCACCGGGGGCCCCGCCGCCGCCCCCCGCCGCCCCCCGCCACTCACCCTTCTCGTTGCGGACGGGCACGGCGCCCGCCGTGGACTGGATCGGCGGCTGCTTCATGAGGGCGCTGGGGACCGACATGGTGGCGGCGGGACCGGGACCGGGACCGGGACCCGGCACGGGAGCGGGAGCGAGGCCGGGACTGGGTGGGGGTCGAGCAGCGGCCGCCGCCAACCGCTCCCCGCAGCCGCTCACCCGGAACGGGAACCGCGCGCCCACTTCCGCCGGAAGCGGAAGCCGGCCGGCGGCGTGTCACCGGAGGTGGCGGCACAGGGGGCGCTTCCGGTCGGTGCCCGGTGCTCGGCCCCGGCCCCGCCGCGCTCTGCCCCCACGGCCGGTCTCCAGCCCCTTTCCCCGGGGCAGGGCTCCCGTGGGACCGGCCTCCCGTGCCGCGGGGCCCCGCCCGCCGCCACCCCCGTTGGGCGCGGGAGCGGTTTGTTGGGGCCGAGCCGGACCCCGGGGCGGGGGGGGGGGGGGGGGCTCGGCGGGTTGCGGGACGCATCCCGCTTCTGGCGGGGCTGCCGGGATGAGCCACCGGTGGGTCCGCATCCGCTCCCGGTGCAGCGGGGACACCCCCCCCCCCGCCGTGCCGCTGGGGCAGCCCCGGCGCTGACGTGTGTGCCGGGAAGGGCCGCGGCCGGGGCCGTCTGCCGCCCTGTGCCGCCTTCTCGAAACAAAGGATGAGGTTTTGGTCTTCTGAGAAGTCTTATCTGCCGGCACCCTGCGGCTGGGGATCTGGGGAGCAGAGGGGCCAGAGCTGTGCTTTAACCCTGTGCTGACGGGTGCCTGCCCTGCCCCCGCCGGAGCGGGTGCCCACCCCGGAGAGGGTGCCCTCGCTGGAGAGGGTGCCCACCCCAGAGAGGGTGCCCTCACCAGAGAGGGTGCCCACCCTGGAGCGGGTGCCCTCGCCGGAGCAGGTGCCCACCCCAGAGAGGGTGCCCACCCCGGAGCGGGTGCCCACCCCGGAGCAGGTGCCCACCCCGGAGAGGGTGCCCACCCCGGAGAGGGTGCCCTCGCCAGAGTGGGTGCCCACCCCGGAGCGGGTGCCCACCCCGGAGCGGGTGCCCTTGCCAGAGCAGGTGCCCACCCCGGAGCGGGTGCCCTCACCAGAGTGGGTGCCCACCCCGGAGCGGGTGCCCACCCCGGAGCGGGTGCTCTCATGGCCGTGGAACAGAGGCTGTGCAGGTTGAGGCCAGCGCTGGGGGTGGCAGCCAGGAAGCCCCAAAAGCAAGCGTGCTTTTCCAGTGGGTGGGTCGGTGCGGGAGCACGATCCCAGAGGAAGTGCTGGGGAGTTCTCCTTTTGGCGCCCTTGGCTGGGAGATGTCCCCCTGGGCGACTCATTCAGCCGGTCTCGGGGAGCACGGACCCCATTCTCGGCAGCAGTGCCGCCCAGGGTCGGGGGGGTGAACCCAGCCCCTGCAGCGCTGACTGGGGCTGCCCTGGGCTGGGTCCCTGCCGTGCGCTGGGGGAAGGCTCTCCCTTGTCTCAGAGAACCCTGTTTCTGCTGCAGGCAGAGCTGTGGGCTCTCCCCGGGGCCCCCCTGCTTCAGCGCATTCTTGCCGTGCTGGAAGAGGTGGGACAGGGTGTGCGGCAGGACCCCGGCACCGCGGACCCCCCTTGGTGCCCCATAGCTCGTGGTTTGCCTTGGTAGCCGAGGTGTTGGTAGCTTTATAGTCCTACAGCAACTGATGGTCCTCCCAGCCTCGTCCAGGAATAAGCAACAGCTCGTCCATGTGTTTCTGGCCTCTGCGCCCAGACGACAGCCGGAGCTCCCGCTCTGCATTGGGTTATCTGATGAGATATTAATCTTAAGTGTTATCGCAGTGTGTTCCTGCCTAGTGAGGCCTGTGCCACCGTGGCAAGGAGCGAGCTTCAACATAGGACGTGGTGGAACAATTAGATGCAGCGGTTAAAGGAAAGCTTGTGAAAGGCACACAAAGCACATAATGTCCCGTTCAGGTGAAGCAAAGCTAAAGACTTTGGCAAACAGGGAAATGCTTTCACAGCCTGGCTCGGTTCTGTGGCTGCAGGCGTTGGGAGGCCGGGGCGAGAAGCGGCTCTTGGCCTGTGATGTGTCTTTCTCTGCCCCGTGTCCCCTCGAGAGGCACAGCCGAGCTGGGGAGCCGAGTGCCGGCATTGCCCGCGCCGGCTGAGCCCCCTGTTCCCGGGGTGGTGCAAGGCTGCGCGGGCTCGGCAGCCGCCGGCGGGAGCGAGCCCGGAGCACGGGCCAGTCTGTGCCCCGGTGCTCTGCCAGCTTGCCAGTGAAAACCTGCCCCTGCCAGGCTTTGGGCTAGATCTGTGTGTCCGTACCTGTGAGCACCCCCTCCCCAAACGGGGCGCTTGCCGAAGGGCCGTGGGTGGGTTCTCCGCCCTGGTGATTCCCGCACACGTGTACTTGTGTTCCCGTGCGTGTCACTGGTGTGGAGGACCCCGGGTGCCGCAGCGTTAAGGGGCCGGGATGTCCCTGCACCTGCACAGCTGCAGTTGTGGGGGACAGGCGACGGCAGGGTGTGATGCACCACCGCCCGGAGCAGGCTGTGGGTCGATACCTTGGCGACATCACAGCTGCTGATGACAAAGGCAGAGGCAGATAAAGTTACAGAACCGCCCTGAGCCGCTGCTGTTTGTTTCTGCAGCTGTACCGCAGAGCAAGGTCAGGCTGTTTGGGCTTGGCCTTGAGTCCCCTGCGTGAGACCACAGTGAGATGTTGTGTCTGGGAGCGTGGCTATGAATAGAGCCTCTCAAACCGGTGGGGCCACAGCAGTCCCAGCTCCGGGGGCACCGGGGCTTTCCCAGGAGCCATCTGGTCACGTCCAGCGGTGCGGTGCGGGGAGGAGAGGGGCTGGGGGGACTCCAGGGAAAGGGGCCTGCGGCCTGAGCCTTGGGAGAGGGCTGGGGAAGCCTGTCTGCAGCACAGCAGAGCGGCTGCGGGCTCACCGCCGCGCCAGCACGGGCAGAGCGGGTTGCTGTGCTCCAGGGAAACATTTACTGATTGATTTGGTCCCCCTGGATGTCCTCTGACTGTCATTGCTGCCTGTTACTTGTTTTTTCCCCACTGTTTGGCGGGGATCTCTGCCCTTCCTCTGCTGGTTTCCTGATCACTGGTCTGCTCTGGCCCGCAGCGCGCTGGCTGCCGGGGAGCGGCACTGCCGCCGTCCTGCTGTGTCCCCAGCTCCCCCCGGGCTGGGGGTGCCTGTGGGCAGGGGTGCAGCCCCGCTGCTGCTCTGCCTCCCGGAAAGCTCAGGCAGATGGGCAGTTGCATCACTGTCGGAGCTTGCGCAATCTCTGCAGCCCGAAAGCCAAAAATTGACCTGATTTTTCCATGAAAGTAGGTTTCTATTGATTGTGTGTGCTGCCGGGCTACACCACGTAGTGTGCTTGGTGTGGAGGAGCACGGCGGGGGTTTCCCCCTGGCCCCAGTGAGCAGTTTGGCCCCTGTGCCCACAGTGTGGGCTCCGGGGAATGCCACGGGACAGGGCCTGGCAGGGCAGGCCTCGCGGAGAGCTGCTGGCTGGTGGTAGCTCCGCGCTGATGCCTCCGAGCCGTGGCCCCCGGGTCACTTAAATGCCCAAGAGGAGGGTTCGTGGTCCTGGCAGACGCGGCTGCGGTAGCTGCTTCGTCCCCTTGCTGCCCCATCGGCAGCGGCCGAGGAGAGGGAGAGGGATGCCGAGCGGCGCCGTAAGGTGTGGGGGGAGCAGCAGCCGTTCGGGTCCAGCCTGGCTGCCCTGTCAGCCCCCGGTGCTGGGGCGCTGCTGCGCAGGCAGATCCCGTTCACGTCTGTGGCTTCATACCACAGCTGGGTGCTCCCCGGTGAGAGGCGTTGTCTTTGGCAGGGGTGCGGGGTCAGGGTGCGGGTCCAAAGCCAGTAGTTTATGTAAGAGAGAGGTGCTTCCTGCCTGCCTGCCCTGCGGCACCGAGATAAGCCCCGTGGTGACAAGGGCCCTTTGTCAGCTCCTCTCCCCAGCGTGACATGTCACAGGGGCCAGGTGCGATGGCTTGTTACCTGCCTGGGCACGGCCGCCAGCACCCAACTGCAGCACCTGACGATGCGGCATGCGGGCGGGTGCTGGGGGAGGCTGCCCGCCTACCAGGGCCGGGGTGGGGGCTCAGGACCTGCCCCCAGTGCGTGTGTCCCCCTGTAAAACTCTGCGGGACGCTCCCGGCTCAGCTGCACGTCCAGGGGCCGGCCTGGGCTCGCTGGCCCCCGGGGACGGCTGCCGACCGGGCTGTGGTGGTGTGGGGTGAGTGCTGCGTGTCCATGGGGCGCCGGGACACCCCGGGACCGTGACCCCAGAGGGTGGACCTGGGGGTACCGCAGCCCCCGGGGCGGTGGTGCCAGTGGCAGCTCTTGGGGTCGGCCCGGCCCGAGTCGCTGCCCCCGGGGCGACGCTGCGGCCGGGGGTCTGCCCTGCAAAACTAACCCAGTTTTTTAACAGAGAAACCTGCCCTGTGCCAGATTTTCTGGGCTGTTCTCAGCATCTCAGTTACCAAGGTGACTGTTTCCTGTGCGATTGCTAATGCTTCATGATCTCGATCATGATATCCGAGTGACTTCCTTTTCTCTGTCAGGAGCTGTAGGACTCGCTCCTACCCAGGGCTGCCCAGACCCCTTCTGAGGTGCAGAGGATTCAGGTCAGTTTGGGTTCCGCCGCTTTTGCCTTTTGCTCTTGACCTGGCTCTTGCATTGCTGTTGACATGGTCCCACGCACACGAGGGACAAGAGCGTATTGTTTTTTCACAAACAACCGAAGCCAAGACGAGCCGCGATTCACTTCTCACCTTTTCTCCTTGGTGGAAGTCTCTCTCCTGAAACCTGAAACTGGGCTGATGGGTTTTCCTTGTGTTGCGGCTTTCCAGACAGTTTCTCTGTCCGGCTGCTGCACGCTGGCGGGGGGCTGCACCCCCACGGCAGGGACTCTGCGGGAAGGCCGGTGCCGGTTGGGGACCCCCCGGCCCGGGTGGCTGCCGGTGGCTGGGTACACTCGTGTCCCGCCGCCAGCCCCCCGCCGGGGACGCGAGGCGAGGCGGCTTCGGGGTGTCCTGCTCCGCGGGCACCCTCGCACCCCTGTTCGGGGCCCACGGGGCGGGGGGGGGGGGTCTGGGGTCTCACGGGGCACACCCCGGTCTCCTGCTCGGGGGGGGCACGGGCAGCCCCCGGGGGGGACGGGACAGCGGCCGTGCTCGGTGTCGGCGGAGCGGGGGGTGTCACGGGGGCGAGGGGGAGCGGCCCCATCTCCCCCCCCCCATCTCCCCCCCCCCCCAGTTGTCGCCGGGCCCGGTGCGGAGCGCTCGGCGGCGGCGCGGGCGGGGCGGGCGGCGGTGACGGCATCCGGCGGCGCCCGGCGGAGCGGCGGCCGGGCCGCGCCGTGCCGAGCCGTGCCGGGCCGTGCCGGGCCGGGCCGGGCCGAGCGGGGCCGGTCGGTCGGGGCGGGGCGGGGCGGCGGGCGGCGCTGACAGCTGCTCGGCGTAAACAACCGGCCCCGCCGGCCGCCCCGGCCGCCCCTGCCTGGGCCGGGCCCGGCTCCGGGGCGGGCGCTCCGGGCGCCCCGCGGCGTGACGCGGCGCCGCCGACAGACGGGCCCGGCCGCCGGCGGGACGGGAGCGGGAGCGGAGCGGAGCGGGCAGGCCGCGCGGTAAGGGCGCCGGCGGTTTGACAGCTGCGGCGGCCCCGGCCGGGCGGGACCCCGCAGCCCGGGCGGCGGCGGGGGGGGGCGGCGGGCAGCCCCGGGCCCGGGGCGCTGCCGGCGGGGACGAGCGCGGCCCCGCCGCCCCGGTGCGGGCGATGCGGGGGGGCAGGTCTGCGGCGGGCACGGCCGCTGGGAAGCCGAGGGCGAGCGGGGGGGCCAGGCCGCGCGTCCCGCCGCACCGGCGGGGCCGAGCCCCGGCCCGGCCGCCCGTGGCTCCGGGGCCCAGCTCCCCGGGAAGCGCCGGTACCGGGAAGGATCCCGGCCGGCTGCTGCCCGGCGCGGGGCGGATGCGGAGCAGCGGGCACGGCCCCCGCGCCGGCCGGGACTCGCGTCCCCGCTCGCAGCCCGGGGCTCTCCCGGTGCCTCGCCTCCCTCCTCCGGGTCCCGGGGCGCAAGGCCGGGGGCTTGCGGGCAGGAGCGGGGCGCGCAGCGGGGTCGAGCGGGGAGGGAGCCCCGCCCGTCTGGCCGTGCTGGGGCGCCGGGCTCCGCGCCCCGTGGCGGGGCCCCGCTGCAGCGTTGTCCCCGCGTGGGGCCGTTACCGCCGGGGCGCGGGGTGGCTGCTGGCTCCGGGACCGGCGAGGCGGAGGAGGCTGCCCCAGCTCGGGGGGCTGCGGAGGGGGCGAGGTGCTGGCACGGGGACCGGCCGTGGCGGACAGTGTCCCCTTGCGCCCTGCCTGCTGCTCTCCCCGCCCGTGCGGTAGCTTTTTCCCTTCCCTGGGGGCTGCGGGAGCCTTTCCCACTGGAAACTGCGATTTGTGCCCCGGCGGGACCTGGGACCTGGAGCTCCCGCCCAGCCTCCGGCGGGTGCTCGCGGCGCCCGGTGCCTCGGCGGCACGGCCGGGCCCGCAGCTGGCCGAGGGCTGGCGGCTGAGGGGGAGCCGTGGCGTGCCTGAATCGCAGCACTGTCTGTGCTGCAGCCTGCAGCGAGGTCTCAGGCGGCTGCCAGGAGCTGCTCTCCTCCCCTGGCAGTGCCGCAGGCTCCCTGCTCGCTGTGGCCGCTGCTTGCCGGAGGGGGATGGGGCTCCTCCGGGCACCGCCGCCTCTCACCTTTCCCGCTGTCTCTGAAACATGACCAGATATTTCAGGGTCCCTGTGGAGCACCGCGCGTGAAGCTCGCTCCGGCACCGCCGCGTCACGGGCTCCTCTGCGCTGGGTGGGTTGCTCCCCACCTGCCTTCCCAGCTCTTGCGTTCACCCTTTGACACGGCGCGAGCTGTCCCCAGGCTTCCCTGGGTGCTTGCTGGAGGTCACGACGTGCCCCTTTTCCCGGTCCCTGTGCCGGTTTCCTTTCTGTTGTGAAGATGAGTCACACCGGTGTCACCATGTTGTGCTCCGGAGGAAGGGCAGAGCCGAGCTGCTGACGGTGACAGGCAGCACAGCGCTCGGTGCTGCTACCGGGCACTGCCTGGTCGGTCGCTGACTGGAGGTGCTGGAGGCTGGGGCTCCGCTGGCCAGAGGGCAGGGGCTCTCCCTGGATTTTCCCCCTTCCAGTCTCTCATTTAGCTGGGGGTCTTCACACAGCGTTGGGGGCATCTCCCTCTGGTCTCCTCTTGGGGCTGGAGCAGCAGTAGCTCCCAGCTCCGTGCCCAGATAGGCCCATCCCAGGTGCTGGCTGGAGCAGGGGCTCCTGTCAGCTGCGGACGGTGGTGTCAGGAGGCACAGCTTCCCCTGCCTCACCGCTCCCCTCCCCTCGTGCCCTTCTCCCCTCCCGGTTTGTTTCCCATGTTTGTAAGCACAGGGCGTAAGTACACGTTGGGCAATAGGCAAGATAAGCCGCGGCTCTGTGCCGGGTGACCTGCGGAGCCAGCCGCCGCCGCGGCGCACAGGGCTGCTGTGAGCCCAGGGCCCCTTGCCCGCTGCCAGAGCCGCGGCTCGGTCCGGCGGAGCCTTCCCCTCCCCGGGTTTGAGGAGCGGTGCCCCGGGGCCTGACCGCTCTCCTGTCTCTCTGCAGATCGTGCTGCTGCCCCGGACGGTCTGTCCCCGCTGCCGCCCGACAGCCCGGCTGTTGCGGGCTTGTCCCCATGCGGGCTTGGGCTGAGCGGGGGCCAGCGGGGCAGAGGGGCCGGCGCGCCCCGGGGTGCTGACACAGGGAGGCCGCTGGACCCGCCGCTCCCGGGACCCTCCTGCTCCCCAGCTAGAGGAACCCCGATACTCTGATGGATCTGAGGTCCTGCTCGCTGCTCCTGCTCTGGACTCTGGTGGTTGCCCTCGCTCTCCTGGCCCGGGAGGTGCTGGCCCAGCGTATTTACACCAACACCTGGGCTGTGTTCGTCCCCGCGGGACCCCAGGAGGCTGACAGGCTGGCCAGGAAGCATGGATTCCTCAACCTGGGCCCGGTAAGTCCCCCGCCTCCCCCTCCCCACAGAAGCAACATCTTCTCCTGTCTCTGCCGTGGTCTGGGTGGGCGCTGGGCCCGTCCCTGGAGCTCGCTCTGGGGCTGCTCTTTCTGGCAGCAGGGCCTGAATTCACCACAGCCCTCCAGCATCTGCTGCCTTGGCTCCAGGGTGATAATTAGCTGGATGGAGCCGGGGCCTCCCCCGATAGCGGGGTGGTCCGGTGGCACGGCGCGGCACGCTCTGCCTGCTGGAGGGGGAAGGAGGAAAAGCCCATCTCGGCACAAAGAAATGGAGCAAGCTGTGTGTCGCTGGAGGAGGGGAGGGCTCCCGGTTCCCGACGGCGCTCCCTGCAGCGAGCTGCCCCAATGCGGCACGGGCTCGGCTAGGCTGGGGTGGCAGCGGTGCCTCCTGGGTGTCCCCAGAGCAGGCGGTCTGACCGCAGCCGCGTGTCCTTGGCCCCAAAAGTCCCTTCACAGACAGTGTGTCTGCAGGTCCCTGCCGCTCTCGGCTTTCTCTGCCCTCAGCCAGGGACGGGGCAGCGCACGTGGCTGCGCTGGGGCCGTCGCTGCCATCACCTTCCTGGCAGCGGGTCGGGGAGAGTGCGGTGATGGTGAAGGAACCAGGGCCCCTCGTGTTCCCCGCATTCCCAGCTGCTCCCAGCCTTGTCCCCAGCACCAGGAACTCTGCAGAGCTCCCCTGCCAGCATCCTTGGCAGGGCCCGGCTCCCCAGTGTGCCAGGCAGCTGGCTCCGCTTGCCCTGGCCGGCTGCGGGCCGTGCCTCGCCGGTAGCCAGGGTGCTCACAGGTCTGGCTCCCGAGGCAGTGGCATGAAAGCCGTGCCGTGACTGGGAGCCGTGGGGCCGGGCAGGCCGATGGCTGGGCTCCTGCTTGCCAGCACGGTGCTGCGGGCCGGACATTGTGCTGGCAGGTTGTTTCTTGCAGGCCAGCGCTTCTCGATGCTGCTGTTGTCGTGTGATGCCGGCTGCCCCGTGCTCTCAGCGCAGGCTGATCTGGGGGCAGGGGGCTTTGCCGATGGAGCTGGCACCAGCACGGCTGCTGTGACCGAGGGGGGACCAGGAGTGTCCCATGGGAGCGGGTGCAGCGAGGCTGGCCCAAAGGGATGACCCCCGGCCCCCGTGCAGGCACGGGGAGCTGGAGCAGTGCTGCTCCGGCGAGGTGAGGCTGGTGCTGGCAGAGCAGAGCCTGCTTCCCCCAGGGGTCTGTTGCCCTGCGAGCCGGGTGCTGCTGCCGGGCTGGGCTGGCTCTCCGGGAAGGAAGCGAAGGGCGAAATCCCAGAGGAAATTGCACAACTCGTGGCTGCGGTGTCAGGACCTCGCTGTGAGCGGCTGCGGCGGGCGGGGAAGGTGGCTGCCGCTGGAGCTGGCGGGTGCCTTGTCCTGCCACCCGAAAGGAGCCCTGCGCGGGGTCTGGGGACAGGGAGCCCCGAGTCCTTACGGAGGAGGGAGCTCTGTGGGGGCCAGGGCCAGGGCCAGTCCCCGCTGAGAGTGCCTGTGCTGGGGGGGGGCAATGGGGCAGTCTCACAGGTGCTGTCGGTGTAGAAGTGTCTTCGAGCCGATGCCAGGTCAAAGGACACGTCGGGCCGGGGCCGCTGCCATGCAGAGGGGACTGGGAGAGCAGCCCAGGACACATCCCGCTGGGCCAGGTCTCTGCCGAGACTCTGTGAGAGGGGACAGGACTGAGGTGCCATTAGCCGGCTCCCGGCAGCGTTTCCCGTCGTGGCAAGGGGCACCGGGCCCTGGGGCTGTGTCTCCACCGTGCCGCAGCACGCAGGGCCCTGGGGCTCGGCGGGGAGCCCAGACCTCTTTGGGGTCCATCCCAGCGAGCCGCGGGGGCTCTGTGCCTGCTCTGCCTGGCAGCGCTCCACCTTCTCCCCGCGCCGCTCATGCCGCGGCCGGAGGCCGGCACCTCTGCGCCGGCTCTGCCAGCCCGCCCGGCTGCCGGCGGAGCAGCTGCGAGGCAGCAGCCGTGGGCTGCGGCAGGAGCTGCCGCCCTGGGCACGGTTTCTCCCGTTCTGGAGCCCGTCCCGGTGTCCGCACTGCGGGACGAGGCTTGGCTGGCTGGGGCAGCCAGCTCGCGCAGCCCGGACCTGGCGGCCCGGTGGGAAGAGCAGGGCTGGAGGAGCTGGGCTTTGGCTCCCGGGAGGTTTCTGGGCGGTGTGTGTGCCGCTGGGACAGGATGTGGCAGCCAGGCTGGAGGCGGAGGGGGGGGGACCGGGTGCTTCTGGCAGTGCCCCAGTGAGAGGCCCCCAGGGTCCTTATCTGAGAGGATCCTGGCCTCAGCGTGGGGTCTGGACACTGTCCTCCGAGGCGTGCTGTCCTGGCGTACTCCCTGCTCCACTGCTGCCTGCGGAGCCAGGGCCGGCCCGCAGTCCCCTGGGCCAGTGGTGCCTCCGGCAGAGGTGCCAGGACCCGTGTCTGGCGCCGGTGGCCTTGGAGGGGGCCCAAGGGACGGTGCTGGGGAGGGACGGGGGTGAGGAGCGGGGTGGATGGGGCAGCGAGGTGGGAGCGGGGTGGTTCGCGCTGCTGGGGCTGGTGCAGAGGAGGTGTTGCAGGCACTGCCTGCCCCAGCTGGGGAGGGGGAGCACTGGGACGGCCCCGGCTGCTGGTCCCTTGGCAGGACACCGGGGCAGCCCCAGCCCAGGGCGGAGAGCTCGGACCTGCCGTACCGCAGGACTGCCGGTCCCCGCTAGCCCCTGCTGCTGCCCGGCACATCACCATGCGGGTGGGAGTGCAGGGAGCCCACTGGCCCCGGGGCTGGCCGGGGTGGCCAAGACCTGTGGTGGGAGGCTGCGGCAGGAGCAGCGAGCTGGCAGCGCTGCCCGCCCTGGGGACGCGCGGGGCTTGGGGGGGGTGGCTCTGCCCTTGCTGAGGACAGGGACTGTGGGGATTAGGGTGGAAGCATGTGGGCTGGCCGGCTCCTGGCGGCCACCGCGGTGTCTGTGCAGCACTAATCCAGTCGGATGACCAGGCAGAGCCACGATCCGCGTGCAGGAACAATCGGGGCTCTGTCCTTACCCCCGGAGGGGGTGAGGGGGTGCTGGGGGAGGGCAGCAAGCCTGCAGCTCGCTTTCCTGTCTGCCAGCCCAGTGCAGAGGCTTTCTACCTCGGCACCTCCCTGAATGCTCTGAGCTGCCGGGTGTCCCAGGCTGTGCTGGGGGGACGTGGTGTGCTGCAGGGAACAGCTTGGGTCTGTCCCCAGTGACTCCGGAGGTGTGATGCTGCTGTAACAGGCAGCACCACCGCTCTGCAGCCAGCCGTGCCCCGCGGGGACGGGGTGCAGAGCTGCAGGATGACTCCTGGCCTTTCCTCTGCCAGCCCAGCCCAGGGCAGGAGCAGCTGCCCCCAGCACCGGGGAGCGCAGCCCCACGCCACGACCACCACGTCCTGGGGAGCTGGCGTGGTCTGCAGCTTCCCTGGATGACGGCAGCTGGCGTGGCCCAGGGTTCGTTTGCACGCTGCGTTGTCTCCTGCTGCAAGCTTCCTCACCTCCAGGGTCCAGAGGACACACGCAGAGAGGAGCGGGCCCCTGAGTTAGCAGCCGGGGGCTTTGCCCCTTCCCTGGGGACTGACGTGTGCCGGGGTGCTGCCAGCATGAGTCCCCAGGTGACAGAGCCCTGGACACAAGTCCTGACCCCAGTGCTCAGCTCCTGCTGCCCTGTGCCACTAGTGCTGGGTTGCCGTGAGTCGAATCCGTTCCCTTTCCCTGCTCACGGCGTGGCTGGTGCACAGGGGGCCGTGCCGCGGGGGGACCCTGCGGAGCAGAGCAATTCCCCTTGGGCAGGCAGGGGCTTGGTGTGCCGGCGCATGGATCCCCCGAGCAGGGGTGGCACAGCCCTGGCTCCAGGTGCTGGGGTGCGTTTCCCACGGAGCACGGAGGGATTTCAGGTCGAAGCGCAGGGCTTGGAGAGCTGCAGCCCCGATTTGCTGCCCCGGGGCCGAGGGTGCTGCTCAGCCAAGCGCACCTTTCCTCCCCTGCTTGGCTCCGGCTGGCTGCAGGGCTCTGCAGAGCTGTGATAAGCTTTGGGGGGTGGGTTGTTAACTGCAACCAAACAGTTTTATGGCAGCCTAGGGCAGCAGAGGGTGAAATGTCCTCTCCCTCGTGTTCCCACAGCCCAGCCCTGCAGGCAGCCGTGCAGCTGGATCCTGCCTGCGGCTGCTGCCCAGGCTACATGGCTTCCAGGGGGCCGGGTGGGCGCTCGGTCCCATTCTCCCCAGTCCAGGCAGGCTGCTGGGCCGGGAGGCCCTGGGCGGCAGCGGGGGGGCTGCCGCGGCCAGGCCAGCCTCCTGGACGTGCAGGAGGGGATAAGGAAGTGACAGTGCTGGAGAGGGTTTGGGGTTTAAAAATAACCAGCTGGGCGGCTGCATGGCCTCCTGGCCCAGCCGGGCTGTGCTGGAGTCCCGTCCTGCTCCTGCCCCAGCCCCAGCCGCGCTGTCCCCACGTGCGCGGGAGCCGAGCCGGGGCCGTCGCAGCATGGCTCCTCGGCTGCTGGCTGTCCCCGCGCGGGGTCCTGAGGTCGGTGCCTCTTCTGGGCTGGCTCTGAGAGGCCTGTCCCTCCCGGCTGGTGCTGCTTGCTGGGGGCCTGCGTGCCAGGGCAGCAGCTTTGTTGGGCAATTCGGGATTTACTGCCCCACGAGGACCCGCGGGAGGGCGAGCTGGGCAGAGGCTGCGTCGCTGTGGCCCCAGGGTTGTCGCCAGCTGCTGCAGCCCCTCGCAGGAGGTCCTGCCCTGTGTGCCCCGACACGAGCCCCTCCGTCCGCTCTGGAGTGGGGGGCCCATCCTGCCCGTGGCAGCTCTGGGGCTCGGGCTTGCAGGTGGGGAGACTAAGGTCTTCCCTCCATCCCGCTCCTTTCTGTGTTGCAGATCTTTGGTGACTATTACCACTTTCGGCACAGCGGCGTGGTGAAGCGTTCCCTCTCACCCCACCAACCCTGGCACAGCCGTTTGGCCAGGGAACCACAGGTACGTGCAGTGGGGCTGTCTGCGGGGGACTGGCTTTGGTCCTGGTCACTTCACGGTTCCGTGTGAGCCAGCACTGCGCACAGGAGAGGGCTGAGCTGCCTTGAACCATCCCCTGGCATGGAGACCCGTGGTGGAGTGGGGCGGGAGCCCGGCACGTGCCATCCCGGGGCGCGGGGCAGCTGCTGCTCCCCCGAGGGCTCCGCGTCCCCGCGCACAGGGCCAGGGGTGTGGGGCAGCGCCGGCGCGGTGCGGGGCTGCCCGGGGCTCCGTCCCCTGGCCCCGTCCCAGGGGCCTGGCGTGCTGGCAGCGCGGCGTGTCGCAGCGGCTGGCAGGCTCTCGGCAGCCCGCGGCGCTGCAGGGCTCCGCGCTCTGACCTGCCCGCTCCGATGGAGCGGAGCCTGTCGCGGGGCGCCCGGCACAGCTGGGCAGGGGGGGCCGGGAGGGGCAGCTGGGGCAGCCCTGGCAGGGTCAGATGCTCTGCGGGCTCCCCAGGGAGAGCCCCTCGGGGCAGGCTGCTGGGGGGGGGACGGGGGTCCCAGGAAGCTGCCGGCATGGGCGCGAGCTGCCAAGGGGACAGTGGAGGAGCCTCGTGCCCCCTCTGCCCCCAGGTGCAGTGGCTGGAGCAGCAGGTGGCAAAGCGCAGGACCAAGCGGGACGTTTTCATGGAGCCCACGGACCCCAAGTTCCCGCAGCAGTGGTACCTGGTGAGCGCTGGGCGAGGAGGGGAGCTGCGCAGTCGCGAGGGCGGGTGCGAGTTCTGGGGACACAGAGGGATGGCTGTCAGGTCGCTGCTGCTGCCCCCAGCCAGGCTGGCGGGGAGGAGGAGGAGGAGGAGGAGGAGGAAGGCCTGAGCAGCCACCCGGTGCTGTGTGTCCGGGGAGACCCCCCAGGGAAGAGGCTGGGTTCATGGGGCTGCAGCTCCCTGCCGGGGTGCTGGCAGGGCTGGGGAGAGCCCGGGGCTGGGCTAGGAGGGAGCAGCCCTTTGCCTGGCCCAGGAACGGGTCCATGCCTGTGCCTCTCTGCAGAGGGAGCCGTGTCTATGGGGACCAAGCACAGCCTGGGGCTCAGTCTCCTTTCGGAGTGGCCCTCCTTGGCTGCCCCTGCACTGTCCTCTGTGCACGGGTCCCCTGGGCTTTCCTCGTCCCCGTGCCACGGCAGAGTGGGGTGAAAGCTGCCTCTTGCTCACCCTTGCAGCTGGACTCGGGAGGGGTCCGGGCGCACCCCCGCTGCAATGCCGGCAGCTGGGCGCAGCTCCTATTGCCAGGGCTTTTCTCTCCCAGTACAACACGAACCAGCGGGACCTGAATGTGCGTCAGGCCTGGGAGCAAGGCTACACGGGCAAGGGCATCGTGGTTTCCATCCTGGATGACGGCATCGAGAAGAACCACCCTGACTTGGAGGGCAACTATGTAAGTGTGGGGTGATGCCGCAGGGGGGTGTGCCCCAGGAGCCTGTCCGGGCACCTGCGTCCGCACGGGGCAACCCCAGAGCTGCGTGGCACGGGGGTCATGCCTGCCGTGGCGGGACACGGAGGTGGGATTGGAGCCTGCTCCCCCTGCTCAGCCCAGCAGGCACGGCCCCGGGACTTGGTGGCCAAGGTAGACGGTCTCTAACTGCCAGATCTGTCTTCCAGGATCCAGGGGCGAGCTTTGATGTCAACGACCAGGACCCAGACCCGCAGCCCCGCTACACGCAGATGAACGACAACAGGTAAGGCAGGAGGCAGAGGCGAGAGCGGCAGCGCCAGCCCTCGGGGACTGTGGGAGGCTGCGGGGGTGGTGGCATGCTTCTGCCCCGCGGAGAAACCCCCTGCCTCCCTTTCTGCTGCCAGCAGCATCCTCTGGAGCTGCCCAGTGCCGGTGCAGGCCGTTCGGTCCCCCTTAGTCTGGAGCAGGAGGGTGGGCGGAGGAGCCCCGCGGGGCCGTTGTCAGACGCCTGGTTCGGGAGGGATGGGAGGCAGCCCGGGGGCTGGTCCCTCCGGGCCCCACCTGAGCACGCCTGGTCCTGTGTCAACTGCAGACACGGCACACGCTGCGCCGGGGAGGTTGCTGCCGTGGCAAACAACGGGATCTGCGGTGTCGGCGTGGCTTACAACGCCAGGATCGGAGGTGGGTGCCACCCTGCCCTGCACTGACAGCAAAGCCTGCGCCGGGCTCGGCGGGGGCCTCGTGGCCGGAGAAGCGGCCTGTGCTGGGGATCCGGGTGCTGCTGGGCAGGGCGGCCCCCCGTGATGGCCCGGGGCGGCGGATGGAGGGTCCCTCGCCAGCGGCACCGCTGCCCGTGGCCGCCCTGCCCGGTCCGGTCCGGTCGCCCGTGACGTCTGCTCTCTGGCCCTAGGCGTGCGCATGCTGGATGGGGAGGTGACTGATGCTGTGGAGGCCCATTCCCTGGGTCTCAATCCCAACCACATCCACATCTACAGTGCCAGCTGGGGCCCCGAGGACGACGGCAAGACAGTGGATGGCCCGGCCCGGCTGGCGGAGGAGGCTTTCTTCCGAGGGGTCAGCCAGGTGAGCAGGAGTTTGCCAGGGAAGTGCCGGCTGAGCTCCTGCCCCATTTCCCTTGCTCTGCCTGCCCTGGTTGTTGTCCCAGCCCTCCCACGGTGAGCTGCCTTCCAGCCCACCTCCAGTATCAGGCTCTGTTGGTTTTTCCTGTTCTTCTTGTGGGATGGCTCTGAGTCAGGACTCCTCCCGTGCTGGGTGCTTCTCTCGCCTTTCTGAGCAGCCCTGTCCTCCCTGCTCAGAGGGCTCCTGCGCAGCCCCATGCCGGGAGGGTCTCTCCCTGCTCCCCGAAGCCCTGTGCTGGTTCCTGCCTGGTTTCATGCCAGCCTCACGTCCCCCCCCACGCCATCCCCATGTGCAGCCTGTGCCGTGGCCGTGCTGCAGCCTGCATGGTTACCCGTGCTCCATGTCCCGCCTGGCATTCCCTGCGCGAGGAGACGCTGAGCAAAGCAAGCCCACCCCGCCGTGCCACGCCGGCTCTGTGCTGCCAGCGGAGCTGTGGCTCTTGGGTGCCGAGCCGCCGGTTGGGACTGCTCTGCTGAGCTCCCGCAGTGCTGCCAGGCAGCTGCAAATCCCACGCAGGCAGCGTCAGCCCCGGGTGATTTCCGAGCGGAAAGAGACATCAGCCCTGCCGCCCAGTGCCTTACCAGTCGGGGCAGCCTCTGCAGAGCCGCCTCGGCGCCCTCCGTCGGCGCGGCGGTGGTGAGGGACGGCAGGGCCGGGCACCCAGGCTGGAGGGCTGTGACCGGTGGTGTCCCGCTGTCCCGTCTGCTTCTGCTCAGTGTTTCCCACTCAGGCTGCAAGAGCCCCGGGGTCGGCACCAGCTTCCCGCCCCGCGGCAGCGCGGGCGATGCCGGCGCTGCCCCTCACCCTGCCTCTGTTGCTAGGGCCGAGGGGGGCTGGGCTCCATCTTCGTCTGGGCGTCCGGGAACGGGGGCCGCGAGCACGACAGCTGCAACTGTGACGGTTACACCAACAGCATCTACACGCTGTCCATCAGCAGCACCACGCAGTACGGCAACGTGCCCTGGTACAGCGAGGCCTGCTCCTCCACCCTCGCCACCACCTACAGCAGCGGCAACCAGAACGAGAAGCAGATCGTGAGTCGGGGCTGTTGGTGTCTGCTGGCCGGGGGGGCTCACGGGGGGTGGGATGTGCTCCCTCCTCCGGGAGCCGAGTGGGTCACGGTGCTGGGAGCAGGGCTGGCCCCGCTCCTCCACGCCGCCGCTCCCCGGGGCGCTCCCAGGGCTCGGAGTTGGGGGCTTCTGGAGGGAAGCTCGTGAGCTGCCCCAGGAGCAGCGGCTCTGCCTCCCCTCCCATGGGGACACAAGCCCTGGAGCCGGCTCTGGGACGTGGCCGGTGCCTGCAGCATCTCCTACCCCAGCACTCCTCCTTGCAGGTGACGACCGACCTCAGACAGAAATGCACCGAATCGCACACGGGGACGTCGGCCTCGGCGCCTCTGGCTGCTGGCATCATTGCCCTCGCCCTGGAAGCCAAGTAAGGGCTGGCACAGGGGGGGGCTGTGCCAGCCCCGTGAGGCAGCGGTGCCGGGCACAGACCTGCCTGGGGCTGAGAGGAGCTGGGTACTGGCTCCTGAGCCCTGTGTCTCCTCGCAGCAAGAACCTGACCTGGCGGGACATGCAGCACCTGGTAGTGCAGACGTCGAAGCCGGCTCACCTCAACGCCAACGACTGGGTCACCAACGGTGTCGGCCGCAAAGGTACCGGGATGCTGGGGATGGACCAGGGGCTCCCCGTTCCCAGGGGTGCTGGGGCAGAGCACCCCCGCAGCCCTGGGGGGTGAAGGAGGCAGGAGGCCTCGGTGAGCCGGGCAGCGCGGCCAGGCACGCGTCCCCCACTGGGGACCCCCGGGAGTGGCGCTGACCCCCTCTCTGTCCACAGTCAGCCACTCGTATGGCTATGGGCTGCTGGATGCGGGGGCCATGGTGAGCCTGGCCAAGAACTGGACCACGGTGGGACCTCAGAGGAAGTGCGTCATCGACGTCCTCGCGGAGCCGAAGTAAGGGCTGGTGAGCCCAGGAGGGCATCGCCCGGCGTCCGCCCCGTCCGCGGCCCCGCGCGGGAGCCCGAGCGCCTCTGGGTGTGGGGCGGGGGGAGCGGGGAGGGTTTCAGGCTGAGCTGCCCCCAAGACGCCGGGTCGTCCTGCTGCGAGAGCTCGGGGAGAGCCGGGAAAGGCACCCTCAGCCAGCCAGCACCGACGTCGGCCGCCGAGCCTGCCCGCTTCTGCTGGGGCCGGGCCGGGCGCCGCGGGCGGGCTGGGCTGCTGCGGTTTGGGAGCGACCAGCACGAGTCATCCCGAGACAGAGGGGCTTTTCAGGGGTCGGACAGAAGCTCCTTTTACTCCCGCTTGGCCATCGCCGCCGCAGCACAACGTGCGCCGAGTCTCGTGTGCGGCCGGGGCGCTCCCCGGGGGCTCTCGGGTTGTGGGGGGGGCGGCTATCCCTGGGCATGGGGGGAGCCGGGTCTGGGCCCTGTCTCTGCCTGCTGCCCTGCCCCGGTCCCTGGGGACCCGGCCCTGCCCGTTCGGAGGGGGCACTGCTTGTGAACCAGCGTCCTGTGCCGGCACCAGGGAGGGAGCCGCACGCAGGCAGCGGGATGGGGACGGCCGCGCCTGTGCCGTCCCTGGCCGCGCCACGCAGGGTGTAGCCAACGCAGCGGTGAGTGAAGAAAGGGCCCATTCAGGGCTGGCACCGGGCAGCGCCTGCTCGGGCAGAGCAAATCCCCCCCGGCCCCCGTCTGCTGCCTGCGCCCCGTGCGGGGAGGGAGAGGAGGCGCCAGCAGCTGCTGGGGGGTTGCCTCGGGCTGCAGCCACCCCGGGGCGGCCACGGAGCCGGGGAGCGGGGGCCGGGGCACCCCGGTGTGTGCGTTGGGGCCGGGGTTGGGCTCACTGCCGCCTGCCCTCCTCAGGGACATCGGGAAGCGCCTGGAGGTGCGGCGGAAGGTGGACGCCTGCCTGGGGAAAGCCAACTACATCAGCCGGCTGGAGCACGCGCAGGCCAGGCTGACGTTGTCCTACAACCGGCGGGGGGACTTGGCCATCCACCTCGTCAGCCCCATGGGCACCCGCTCCACCCTCCTGGCTGCCAGGTAGGCGCCGGGCTGTGGGGTGCCCCAGGGCGGCCCCAGGCCCGGGCTGTCAGGAGGGGGGTTTGCGGGGAGGATTGCCACCCACCTCTCGCCCCACCACCCCGCCCAGGCCCCACGACTTCTCGGCTGACGGCTTCAATGACTGGGCCTTCATGACGACGCACTCGTGGGACGAGGATCCCTCCGGGGAATGGGTGCTGGAGATCGAGAACACCAGCGACGCCAACAACTACGGTAGGGCTGGGCTGGCCTCGCCCCGCTGCTGCTGCCTCCCGAGGCGGGAGCGGGAGCAGAGGGGGCGCCCGGTGTCCCCCCAGCACCCTCAGGCAGAGGGGCCAGTGGCACCCCAGATACTTTGCAGTGACCTGGCTGGAGCTGGGTCTGTGGGGAGGGGACGCGGTGCTCCAGAGCGGTGGGGGTCTGGGGCACCAGGTGCCCCCCGCCACGGTCCCAGTTCGGGCACTTTTCCAGGCGCTGGGCACAGTTCCACTTGTCCCCAGGCAGCCCGTGGCGGGGGGACTGGGTGCAAGCCCCCTCCCTGTGCGGGTCCCGGGCAGGGGCGGTCCCGCGGGCTCAGCGGTCCTCGCCCCGTGTCCTTGCAGGCACACTGACCAAGTTCACCCTCGTGCTGTACGGGACGGCCACCGACTCCCCCAGCCTCTCCAACCAGCTGGAGAGCAGCGGCTGCAAGACCCTGACCCCCAGCCAGACCTGCGTGGGTAAGCGTGGGGCCGGCGGGGAGGGGACGGGGGCGCAGGCAGCCCCCTCCCTGCATGCGCTGACCCTGCCTTTCCCGCAGTCTGCGAGGAGGGCTACTACCTGCACCAGAAGAGCTGCCTGAAGCGCTGCCCCCCCGGCTTCGCGCCCGGCGTCCAGAGCACGCACTACACCCTGGAGAACAGCGTGGAGCCCGTCGCGCCCCACCTCTGCCTGCCCTGCCACCCATCCTGTGCCACCTGCGCGGGGCCCGGCCCCAACCAGTGCCTGACCTGCCCCGCGCACTCCCACTTCAGCAGCCTGGACCTCTCCTGCTCCCACCAGACGCAGAGCAGCCGTGCGTCCCCCGCCCTGGCAGAAGGCGAGGGGCTGGCTGAGGCCCCCCCTCCGGCCAACCTGCCCGTCCTCATCGCCAGCCTCAGCTGCGTCCTCATCGTCGTCATCTTCGTCACCATCTTCCTGGTGCTGCAGGCGCGCTCAGGCTTCAGCCTGCGGGGCGTGAAAGTCTACGCCCTGGACAGCGGGATCATCTCCTACAAGGGGCTCCCCTCCGACATCTGGCAGGAGGAGGGCCCCTCGGAGTCGGACGGTGAGGAGTCCGAGGCTCACAGTGAGAGGACTGCCTTCATCAGAGACCAAAGTGCCCTTTGATGAGCCCTCCCGCCCCTCCCTCCTCCCTGCCCAGCACGGCGGGGCCGGGGCAGGCGAGGCTGAGGGGCCCCGGACTCTGCCCCCGTCCCCCCTCCCACACCACAGCAGCCCGGGGCTCCCCATCCGCCGGCACCGTCCCTCGGCCCTGGCCCGGGCTGCCGGGCACGGCCCTGCCGGCACCGTCCTCAGCTCGGCACCGTCCCACTCTGGCACCATCTCTCTTGGCCCCACGTCCATTCTGTACCCCACGCCGGGGTATTGGATGGCAGCGGGGGCCCTTGGCTCTCACTGGCCCTGCCCCAGCAGCCGTGGCCCCTGCCCCAGCCCCGTGGCTGCTGCTGGGGGGGGGTCACGCGTGTCCCCCAGGGTGGGTGGTGGCGGGGGGGGGGTCACTGGCTTGTCACTGCTCAGGCTGGGCTGGCTGGGGCAGGGGCAGGGGTGGCTCTGCCTGGAGCCCAGACGTGCTCTGCCCGTGGCACAGCGTCCCCCTGCCCCGCCGGGCTCCGCCGCGTCCCGGCCCCCCACCACCCCCCAAGGGCCTGCCCGCCTCCACCCGTGCCCTTCGACAGCAATAATGGCCAGGCCTCAGCCCCTGCCGCCTGCTTGCCCGCTGCCTGCCCACCCCACTGCGGCTGCCTGCAGCGTGGACCCGACCCCCCCCCGCACCCGAGGGTGTGGGGCAGCTCAGCGCCCCCCCCGGCGTGGGCAGGGACCCCTCCCCTCACACAGACCCCGCTCTGTGGGGCGGCCCCCTCGCCTCGTGCCCCCTGGCAGGGCCGTGGGTGCTGCTGGCCGGGGCGGGGGGCAGCGCCGGTGCCTGCGCTCTGCCTGCACCCTGCCCGTGCTGGGCAGAGCCCGGCGCCCCGATCCCCTGCCCCCCGACGTGCCTTGCCCCCACTTGGTGACAATCCGTTCCGCTCCCTCCCGGCACCACCCGCCCTCGCTGCCCCTTCCCCACGGGCTGGGGGCCGGTGCCGTGAGCCCCCTCGCCGTCCGCTGCCGCACACCGGGGCCGTGGCACGGGCTCCCACCCGCCCTGTGCCAGCGCCAGCCCCGGCCTGCCACGGACGGAGCCGCCGGCTGGGGGCCACAGGACTATTTTTCTATAATAACTTTTTGGTGCACAGTAATTTTTTCTTGTAATTTAATCAGCCGGGAGCTGCCTCCTGAGCCTGTTTTTAATTTAATGGATGTGGATATAACGCTAGAGAGACTGAGTTATTAAATGTTCAGAACTATGCAAACCAGCTCCGCTGCCTGTGCTCTGTGTGACGCGGCTGCGGGCGGCCCCGGCCGGGTCCAGCCTGGCCCTGGGGACAGGAGGGTGCCCGGCTGGGGGCTGTCACCCCGTCTGGGTGCGCAGGGTGCCCGGATCGGCTCCCCAGGATGCGCACAGCCTGGGGCTGCAGGAGCTTGCAGGGCCGGGTCCCCCCGCAGCCCCCGGCCAGGGCGCAGAAGCCCCCCAGGAGGTAAAGAGCCCCCCCCCCCCGCCCCGAGCACGGGGCTGCTGTTTGGGGACGTAGTGGGGACTCAGCACCCAGACAGGGACCGGCCCCCTCACCTGAGCAATGGGAAGCAGCCGCTTATCAGGAGCCCACAGCAAGGGGAGCTAATTCAGGAACCGGCTGCGGTGGATGGAGGGGCAGGTGCGGGCAAACCCCTGAGGGACTTGCACCCCTGTCCCACAGCGCGTGGGCTGAGCCCCTCCACTGAGCTGCAGCCCCAGCACCGTGCCCACGGGGCAGCCCTGGGGTGGGGATGGCCAGGCGGGACCCCAGACCTGCTGATGCTGTGGCAGAGCCCCCGCCGAGCCCCCCGCAGTGTCCTGGCCCCCCAGAAGGGTCTGTTGGGACTGCGCTCGCCCGCAGAGGCAGCTCCTCTCTGCAGAGCCCCTTCGGCCTCGCTGCACCCGTGGCCACGGTGTCTTCCTGTGGTCAGGGCCGAGTTCCCCGCGGCTGCAGGCGCTGCTCAGCCCGCTCTTACTTTTCTCGTGAGGCCACGGTGAGAACGGGTCCCCACCGCCCCTCGGCTGGGGAGCAGTTTGTGGGCTGGGGGGCAGCGGGTGGGCTGCGGCCGTGGGGTGCTGCAGCGATGGCTCAGGCAGAGGCCGCAGCCCCACGGGGCTCTGCAGGCTGCAGGGGGGTGGACAGAGGATGTGAAACTGGGACGGTTGTGGGGTGGCCCGCAGCGACCTTCCTGCTGCAGGCAGCGGTCAGGGCTTCCAGAGATAGAGAGCTTCTGCACGCCCAGAGCCTCGCAGCACAGTCCTGACCGGCCTGGCGCTGCAGGGGGGCAGCCCCCCGGCCCCCCAGCCCCCAGGCTCGGATGCCTCCCACCTGAGGTGCCCAGTGTCCCTGGGGCAGCCCGGTGTGGGTGGGGAGGGGGCTTGTGCTGCCCGGGAGGTGCCAGGGGATGCTGGAGGGATGCAGGGGATGAGGAGAAGCAGCCTCCCAGCCTGTCTTGCAAAACACTTGCTAAGCTCGTGACAGCGCTGCGAGTGTCTCTGGAGCCAGTGGGGTGTGTGGACGCAGCCAGACCCACGGCTCAGCTAGAAAATAAAACTGCTCCTGGGCAGGCTCTGTGGGGCTGTGGCAGAGGGGGCTGGCGGCGGTTTGGCATCTGCTGCAGGGCAGGGCAGCTGCAGTGCCGGTGCTGGCGGGGCTGCTCTCACTCTCAAACCAGCTGTGAGCTGGTTTCCAGGCAGCTGAGCACTGGTGGTGCCACGCTGTGTTCTGGGCGGCTGAACGGGGTGTGGGGAAAGCAGAGCCCCCCACCCCCGGCAGGCAGGACTGACTCCGTGGGGACAGGCAGGCTGGGCCCCCCCGGCAGGCAGGATCCCTTGGGGACCAGGGCCAGTTACCCTGTAAGCAGCCGGTGGGCGACTGGAGACCCTGGCAGCTCTCGAATTGCTCACCTGGCCAGGTGGCAAATGAGCTACTAACCAGGCTCCTCTTCCCCGGGGGGGGGGTTGTGGTGACTCTGGGTGGGGATTTGTGTCGCCCAGCACAGCTGGAGTGCTGCCTGGGGTCTGTGCCCGGGGCCGCCCGGCAGCCCCCGCCGTGCCATTGTGCTGCTCCTCGCTCTGACCACCCAGCCCTTGCTGAGCTGTGGGAAGGCAAGTCAGCAAAACTCTCTGGCACATTTTTTTTCCCCCCAACATCATCTAACAGTGGAATCAGCTCAGCTGTGTCCTGCAGGTGATGGCGATGAACCCCTGGGGCCGGGGCACCCCTGCCGGGCACAGGGTGGGGAGCTCAGCACAAACCACCCAGGAGATGGGCTGGGCTGGGCTGGGGCAGCACCGGGGACGCGCGTGGCAGTGCTGGGCAGCGGCTGCCCCTGCGGTGCGGCTGCCAGGGCCGAGCGGTCCCACCGGGGGCGAAGCGCCTGGGGCTGCTGCGGGAGCGGGGTCCCGGCCGTGGACCGCAGCGGGGGCGAGGGGGAGCCCTGGGCTCCTGCAGCCCCCGATCCTGCCAGCACCAGGCCTTGGGGCGGCGGGGCCGTGTGCTGGTGTCAGCCCCCGGCGTGGGGACTGGCAGGGAGGGGAGGAAGCGCAGGAAATCTCGCAATGGCTGTATGGTCAGCACCGGGTTTCCTGTTCCTCCCCAGGAGCTGGAGCTGCTCTGGGTCCAGACTGCGCCGGCCCCGGCCCTGGGAGGACGCCAGCACCAGCCCCACGGCAGGGACCTCACGGCACACGCAGGTTGGAGGGGCCGCACCCCAGCGGGGTGCTGGCAGGGATGGGGGACCCTTTTTTCGGGGCTGGGGGGAAGGGTCTCAGCTCTGGCTCTCTGTGGGGCTGAGGGCTGTGCTGGGGACGTCCTGCCCTGCGCCAAAGCGTGCCCCAGCACCCTTCTGCTCCCGCTGCGCCCTCGCCATGGGGCAGGGCACCCCGGGACAGTGGCTGGGACCACTTCGTCTCCAACGGCCGTGCTGGAGTCTAGGGTGCTGGGACACAGCCAGGCTCAGCATCTTCCTCTGGGGCTCAGCACCCCGTCCCCCTCCTGCCGGCTTCCCCTGGCCCCCAGGAATTCCCCCACTGCAGGGGGAGGGGTGACCTTGCCAACGGGCAGGATGGGGCCGGAGCTGCCGGACTGCGTGGGGCTGGTGGGTGGCACGGCCGCGCTTCCCCTGGGAAGCAGCCCCGTGCTCACGGCAGAGGTGACACCGCTGTTTTTGACCCCACACTTCCTCCTCCGTGGCGCTGTCGCTGCGCTCAGCCCTCCCGCCTGCTTCGAACGCGCTTTGCAAGGCAGGTTGTGCGGGGCAGAATCCTCTCTGCCCCCCCCCTGCCGCTGCTGGCCCACGTCCCGTGGTGGGGCAACAGGGCAGGAGGGTGCAAGATGCAAAGGGCCCCCGCCACCGGTAAGGGCGGAGCGGGGCGCGGGGCGCAGCCGGGGCTCAGGGTCCCCCGCCACCCCGCAGCCTCCTCCGCGCCGGGCCGGCGGTGCCATGGGCTTCGGGCCGGAGCTGTGGTGCCCGCAGGGGCACAGCGCGCTGCTGCGGCTGCAGGATGGCGAGCTGCGGCTCCTGGAGCTGATGAAGAAGTGGATGTCGCAGCGCGCCAAGAGCGACCGGCAGTACGCGGGGATGCTGCACCACATGTTCTCCCAGCTGGAGAAGCAGGAGGGCCCCGGGCAGCTCCATGCCGGTGACCACGGCGGTCAGATGGCGGAGGTAGGGACGCCCCGGTGCGCGAGTGCGTCCTGCAGAGCCCGGAGGGGCGTCGGAGGGGCGGCCGTCCCCACCCCGTCCCTGACGCCCCGTCCCCTCCCCGCAGTCCTGGTGGGTGCTGGCGAGCCGGACGGAGACGCTGAGCCAGATCCTGCGGCGGCACGCGGAGGAGCTGGCGGCAGGGCCGCTGGCCAAGCTGAGCCTGCTGATCCGCGACAAGCAGCAGCTCCGCAAAGCCTTCAGCGAGCAGTGGCAGCAGCTCAGCCAGGAGTACGCCCGGGTACGTGGGGAATGGGGGGGGGGAATGGGGGGGCCCGGCCCGGCCCCACTCCCCTGACGCCGTCTCCCTCCCTCCCCAGACCACGCAGCAGGAGATGGAGAAGCTGAAGGCGCAGTACCGCAGCCTGGCACGGGACAGTGCCCAGGCCAAGCGCAAGTACCAGGAGGCCAGCAAAGGTGCCTGCCAGCCCAGCTCCCGCCCCGGCACCCTGTCTCCCCTCGCCCTGGCCCACTGGGTCCCCTCCCCGCTCCTCTCATGGGTCGGGGACAGCCGGAGCACCCTGTGCCCTGTGGGACCCACGGTGCAGCCTGGATGGGTAGGGGCTTGGGGGGCAGGCGATGCAGGGAGAGCCCAGCCTGGATCCCGGGCAGCCGGGCAAAACTCCTGGGGAGTTGCAGCCTCGGGACAGCTTGCCGTGGGTCAGGAGCATCGCTGTGCACAGGGAGCTGTGTGACCATCCCGGGACCCTCTCCCCGCCCCATCAGCCCCCCAGCCCCTGCTCCAGCCCCCCCCGGCTGCTCGGGGGGGACGTGCTGCAGCACTGGGACCAGCAGCGTGGTGGTAGCGGGTGTTTCCCACGGCCTCTCCCCTCCAGACAAGGAGCGGGACAAGGCGAAGGAGAAGTACGTGCGCAGCCTCTGGAAGCTCTACGCCCTGCACAACCAGTACGTGCTGGCCGTGCAGGCGGCCACGCTTCACCACCAACACCACTACCAGCGTGTGCTGCCCAGCCTCCACCAGTCCCTCTACAGCCTGCAGCAGGAGATGGTCCTTGTCCTGTAAGGCCCCCGCCTGTCCTGCGCCCCACTGCCCGTCCCTGGGCACCCCGGTGCTCCCTCCTCCTGCCAGATCCTTGCCAGCCCATCGCCTGCCCCTCGCACCGCAGCCCGCCCGGCAGTGCCCCGGGGCTGGGGGTACAAGCCGGTGGGACACCCGGGCGGCAGGGCTGGGGCAGGGGTGGTGGTGCCTGGCTGCAGGGACCCTGGGCTGGGGGGGCGGCACAGGAGCCCATCAGCCCCCAGCGCCCACGTCCCCGCAGGAAGGAGATCCTCAGGGAATACTACAGCATCAGCAGCCTGGTGCAGGAGGACGTGCTGGCCGTGCACCAGGAAATCGCCAGCGCTATCCAGGCCATTGACCCGGCCACCCAGTACAGCGGCTTCGTCCAGAGCCACAGGTACGGCCCCGCGCGGCTGCAGCCCCTCAGCTGGGCGCGGTGGGAGGCAGAGACATGCTGGGTGCCCGCAGGTACGGCTCCGAGGTGCCGCCGGCCGTGTCCTTCGACGAGAGCTTGCTGGAGGAGACGGAGGGCCTGGTGCCAGGGGAGCTGCAGCTGAACGAGCTGACCATCGAGAGCGTCCAGCACTCGTGAGTGGGGCCGTGCCGCGGGCAGGGGCGGCCGCCCTTGGCAGCGCGGCTCCACACCGACCGGCGCCCGCGTCTCCTGCAGCCTGTCGTCGGTCGAAGAGGAGCTGGCGGCCACCGCGGAGGCCGTGAGCAGCAAGGAGCAGCGGGTGCGGGAGCTGCAGGCGGAGATCAGGGGCGAGGAGCAGGGCCGGAGCCCTGGGGAGCGGTGAGGTGCGGTGGGCAGGGGGGGTGAGGGGCCGCGGGCGGCGGGGGCTGACCGCCCTGTCCCGTCCCCAGGGTGCACTTGCTGGGCAAGCGGCAGGGGCTGCAGGAGCTGCAGCAGCAGCTCGAGGGCTGCCTCTGCACCCAGGCCAAGCTGCAGGCGCAGCGGGACCTGCTGGCGGGGAAGCTGGGGGAGCTGGGGACCGGGGAGCCCCTGCCCGCCCTGCCTCTGCAGGAGGACCGCCAGTCGGTCTCGTCCGTGGTGAGTCCTGCCCCGCCGCGCCCCGGGAGCTGCGGGGATGGGGCACCCCGGGCTCGGGTCGCCCCCCCAGCCAGCGCACAGCTCATGCCTCCCCCCCAGGAGCAGGAGCGGAGCGGGGCCACCGCGCTGGAGACCCTCAAGAACCACATCTCGGGCATCTTCAGCCCCAAGTACTCGGTGAGTCCCCGGGCACCTCTGGCCACCCTGCCCTCCCTCTTCTCTCCAGCCCCTCCAGCCCCTGCTCCCCGCTGCCCCCGGCTCCGGCACGACCCGGGGGCACGTCTGGGCTCACCCCCTTCTCTGTCCAGCTGCCGCCCCCCGTGCCCCTGATCCCGGACGTGCAGAAGCCGCTGTGCCAGCAGGTCTGGTACCACGGGGCCATCCCGCGCGTGGAGGTGCAGGAGCTGCTGACCTGCAGCGGGGACTTCCTGGTGCGGGAGAGCCAGGGCAAGCAGGAGTACGTGCTCAGCGTGCTGTGGGACGGGCAGCCGCGGCACTTCATCATCCAAGCGGCCGACGTGAGTGAGCGTGGGCCGGGGGAGACGGCCGGGGGTGGCCCTGTGTGGGCGGGCGGGGGTCCATGCCCGGGCACGGCCCCGGCTCCGTGGCCGCAGGGGCCCTTGTGTGAGTGCACGGGACGCGTGTGCACGGTACGTGTCGTGCGCACCCACCCTCGCACGGGCCGAGTGCGGGGTGTGAGCCCTGCGTCACGTGTGTGAGCTCCCGCTCGTGCGTGTGTGCCCTGCCCGGTGTGCACGCCTGTCCCACACCGGGTGCGTGCGTACTCATCCGTGCGTGCACACCCACGCACCCCAGCCCCCGTGAGCACGGCCGTGGGTGCGTGCAGGAGCACCCCCTCAGCCTCCCCTCCCCACAGAACATGTACCGGCTGGAGGGGGAGAGCTTCCCCACCATCCCACTGCTCGTCGAGCACCTCCTGCAGAGCCAGCAGCCCATCACTCGGAAGAGCGGGATCATCCTGGCCAGGGCCGTGCCCAAGGTGATGGCAGGCAGCGGGGGGGGGGCAGCCCTGACCCCTTCTCCTGCCCATGGCTGGGCAGGGAGCCCCAAGCACGCTTCTCCAGCCGGACATGGTGGCCCAGCCCCGGGGGCTGGGGGACCCCCTTCCAGGGCTGCCTGAGAGGGAGCGTCAGGGGGGGATGTGGGCCTGGGGTGGGCTGGGGGTCGGCTCACCGCCTTCGGTGTCCGCTCGCTGCAGGACAAATGGGTGCTCAATCACGAGGACGTGCTGCTGGGGGAGCGCATCGGCCGGGTGAGTCGGGGTGCTCTGGGCCCTGCCTGTGCGGGGTCTGTGGGAGGGGAGGGCTGTCCCGGGGGGGTCTGCGGGAGGGGAGGGCTGTCCTCGGGGGGGTCTGCGGGAGGGGAGGGCTGTCCCGGGGGGGTCTGCGGGAGGGGAGGGCTGTCCCGGGGGGGTCTGCGGGAGGGGAGGGCTGTCCTCGGGGGGGTCTGCGGGAGGGGAGGGCTGTCCTCGGGGGGGTCTGCGGGAGGGGAGGGCTGTCCTCGGGGGGGTCTGCGGGAGGGGAGGGCTGTCCCGGGGGGGTCTGCGGGAGGGGAGGGCTGTCCTCGGGGGGGTCTGCGGGAGGGGAGGGCTGTCCCGGGGGGGTCTGCGGGAGGGCAGCAGTTGCCTTGGGCTGCGCCGTGGCAGGCTGGGCCAGTGCACCCATGTCTCTCGGCAGGGAAACTTTGGGGAGGTGTTCAGCGGCCGCCTGCGTGCTGACAACACCCCTGTGGCTGTGAAATCGTGCCGGGAAACCCTCCCACCCGAACTCAAGGCCAAGTTCCTGCAGGAAGCCAGGTCTATGTGGCCATCGCGCTTGTCCCAGCCTGTCTGTCTGTCTGTCCTCAGGACTTGGGGCTGTTCAAACGCCGCTGGGACTGCAGCATCCTTGTGCTGAGGGCCGCGTCCCCGGACCGGCCGGCCAGACCGTCCTGGGCACGGAGGTGACCTGTGCCCAGAGCAGCTGGGCCCCCGCACACTCACGGTGCCCTTCCTCGTCCCCACAGGATCCTCAAGCAGTACAACCACCCGAACATCGTCCGGCTCATCGGCGTCTGCACCCAGAAGCAGCCCATTTACATCGTCATGGAGCTGGTGCAGGGTGAGTGGCCCCGTCCCGCGGCCCCTGCGCGGCTGGGGCAGCCGGGGTGCGCCTGTGCCGGGGCAGCTGCCCGCCAGCTCCGCGATCCTGGGTGCAGGGGGGGACTTCCTGAGCTTCCTGCGCAGCGAGGGGCCACACCTGCGGGTGAAGGACCTGATCAAGATGACGGAGAACGCTGCCGCCGGCATGGAGTACCTGGAGAGCAAGCACTGCATCCACAGGTGGGCTCCGGGAAGGGCAGGGTGAACCCCAGAGCCCGCGCTGTCCCCCGTCCCGCGCTGGGGCGAGGCCCCTGGGGACGGCCAGGTGTGCGGCTGATGGCTCTGGGCCGCCCCAGGGACCTGGCCGCTCGCAACTGCCTGGTGACGGAGAAGAACGCCCTGAAGATCAGCGACTTCGGGATGTCGCGGGAGGAGGAGGATGGCGTCTACGCCTCCACGGGAGGGATGAAGCAGATCCCTGTCAAGTGGACCGCCCCTGAAGCACTCAATTACGGTACGGGATGGAGCCGGGCACAGCTGGGGGCCAGGAGTCCGGGGCACACATCCCATTCCCACACGTGTGCTCCTGGGGAGGGAGGTAGAGAGACACCAGGCACTGCAGCCCTTGCGAGCACGGGCACAGCTGGGTCGGCAGTGCCATGGGTGTCCCCAGCCATCAGCATCCGTCCTGCCCCGTGTCCCCAGGCCGATACAGCTCGGAGAGCGACGTCTGGAGCTTTGGGATCCTGCTGTGGGAAGCCTTCAGCCTGGGTGCTGTCCCCTACACCAACCTCAGCAACCAGCAAACGCGAGAGGCGGTGGAACAGGGTAAGGGGTGCGGCCGGGGTCCGGCTGGCAAGGGTCGTGGGTGCGGCGCAGCAGATCCCCCACGGAGCCATGGCCATGGGACGGGATGGGGCTGTGGGGGGGCTTGGGGTGATGGCCCGGGCTGCCATGTCCCCATCGCTGCCCCCCCCCCCCAAGGCGTGCGGCTGGACCCCCCCGAGCAGTGCCCCGAGGAGGTGTACCGGCTGATGCAGCGCTGCTGGGAGTACGACCCCCACAAGCGGCCCAGCTTCAGCATCATCCACCAGGACCTCATCGGCATCCGCAAGCGGCACCGGTGAGGGGTGGCTCCAGGCCCAGGGCCGTGCCCCGCATCCGTCCTGCCAGCAGCGGCCGTCCCTCGGGCCCGGGAACCGGGGGGCTGCGGGGCGGCCGGCCGCGGCTGTGCCCCCTCCAGCCCGGGGCAGGGGCTCCTGCCCACCCTGGGGACGCGGCACCCACTCTGGGCTTGGTCCTGTGTAATAAATGAACCAGCTCTGCAGCACCGTGTCGGGGTACGGGGGAGGGCACAGAGCCCCTGGGAGCCCACACTACACCCGGGACAGGGCACGTGGGCACCTTGACCGAGCCCCGGGGCTTTGCGGGGGATGCCTGGGTGTGTCCCGGGGGTGGGGGGGATACCCGGGTCTATCCCCGGGGCTTTTCAGGGGATGCCCAGATGCGTTGTGGTGATACGGGGGGGGGGGGGGGGGGGGGGGGGGAATCCCTGGGTCTATCCTGGGGGCTGTGGGGGATGCCTGGGTGTGTCCTGGGGGCACAGGCGGATGCCTGGGTGTACCCCCGAGGATTTGGGGGGGATGCCCGGGTGTACCCCCGAGGATTTTCGGGGGATGCCCGGGTCTATCCCCCGAGGATTTGCGGGGGATGCCCGGGTGTACCCCCAAGGATTTGCGGGGGATGCCCGGGTGTACCCCCGAGGATTGGCGGGGGCTGCCCGGGTGTACCCCCGAGGATTGGCGGGGGTTGCCCGGGTGTACCCCCGAGGATTTGGGGGGGATGCCCGGGTGTACCCCCGAGGATTGGCGGGGGCTGCCCGGGTGTACCCCCGAGGATTGGCGGGGGATGCCGGGGTCTATCCCCGAGGATTTGGGGGGAATGCCCGGGTGTACCCCCGGGGATTTGGGGGGGCTGCCCGGGTGTACCCCCGAGGATTTGGGGGGGCTGCCCGGGTGTACCCCCGGGGATTTGGGGGGATGCCCGGGTGTACCCCCGGGGATTTGTGGGGGATGCCGGGGTCTATCCCCGGGGATTTGGGGGGGCTGCCCGGGTGCACCCCCGGGGATTTGGGGGGATGCCCGGGTGTACCCCCGGGGATTTGGGGGGGCTGCCCGGGTGCACCCCCGGCGCTGCGGGGGCCGGGCCCCTCCCCGCGGTCCCGAGGCCCCGCCCAGCCCGGCCCGGGGCAGCCGTGCGGGGCGGGGCCGCCCCCCGCCGGGCCGGGCCCGGGCCCGGGGGGCGGGGCGGGGGGCGGGGCCTGGCCCATCCCGGCCGCGGCAGGCGACGGGCCCGGGGCGGGCGGCGAGAGGAGCCGGGCCGGGCCGCGGAGCCGCCCAGGGTGGGAGCGGAGCGGCCGCGCCCCCCGCCCCGGCACCGGCACCGGCACCGGCACCGCCCCCCGGTCCCGCTCCGCTCCCCGCGGCGCGGGGGCCCCGGGCTGCCCGGCTCGGCGGGGCCGCCGCGGCCTGCTCCGGCCCGGGCTATAAATACCCGGCGGCGGATTAAGCGAAGTAGGACGCGGCGGGGAGGAAGAGGAAGAGGAAGAGGAGGAGGAAAAGGAGGAGGAAAAGGAAAAGGAGGAGGAGGAGGCGGCGGCGGGCAGGGCACGGGGCACCCCGCGACCCCGGCGGGGCTCGGCCCGGGGCGGGGGGCACCGGCGCCGCCCCGCCCCGGTGCAGGTGTGTCCCCGCGGCCCTCCGGGATGAAGCTGAAGAAGCAGGTGACAGTGTGTGGAGCTGCCATCTTCTGCGTGGCCGTCTTCTCCCTCTACTTGATGCTGGACCGGGTGCAGCACGACCCCACGCGGCACACGAGTGGGGGCAACTTCCCCAGGGTGAGCGCGGGGACGGACGGACGGACGGGCGGACGGGCGGTTTGGCTGCCTCGGCCGGGGCTGGCTCCCCGCCGGCGCGGGGGCCGCCTGGCGAGGGCGGGGGGGGGGTGCTCCTCACCGCAGCCTCCGTGTCCCCAGAGCCAGATCTCGGTGCTGCAGAACCGCATCGAGCAGCTGGAGCAGCTGCTGGAGGAGAACCACGAGATCATCAGCCACATAAAGGACTCGGTGCTGGAGCTGACGGCCCATGCAGAGGGGCAGCCGGCGCTGCCCCACCGCACGCCCAACGGCTCCTGGGTGCTGCCCCCCGAGAGCCGCCCCAGCTTCCTCTCCGTCTCCCCCCAGGACTGCCAGTTCGCCCTGGGGGGCACGGGCCAGAGCCCAGACCTGCAGGTGAGGGGCCGGCACCTCGGCCCTGCAGCTCAGGGACCACCTCTGCGGGTGCGGGGGGGGGGTCCCTGCCAGCGCGTCCGCGGGGCCCTGGCCCTGCGCTCTTGGGGGGGGGGGGTGTCAGTCCGGTGTCTGCCCTGAGCGCCGTCTCCCGCCCGGCAGATGCTGGCCGTGTACTCCCTGCTGCCCTTCGACAACCAGGACGGCGGCGTGTGGAAGCAGGGCTTCGATATCACCTACGAGCCCAACGAGTGGGACGCCGAGCCGCTGCAGGTGTTCGTGGTGCCGCACTCCCACAACGACCCGGGTGAGCGGCAGGCGAAGGCGGGCAGGGCAGGGGAAGGGCTGGCGCTGCCCCGCTCTGCGGGTGGGGAAGGGCTGGGCCCCGCGCCGTGACCCCCCCCCACCTGCGCTGGCAGGCTGGATCAAGACCTTCGACAAGTACTACTATGACCAGACGCAGCACATCCTCAACAGCATGGTGCTGAAGATGCAGGAGGACCCGCGCCGGCGCTTCATCTGGTCCGAGATCTCCTTCTTTTCCAAGTGGTGGGACAACATCAGCGCCCAGAAGCGGGCTGCGGTGCGGAGGTAGGGCCGCCCGCCCGGCGACGGGTCCCTGGGTGCTGCGAGCACGGGGGGGCCGCGAGAGAAGCGCCCCGGGGAGACGCCGGCAGCAGCCGTGGGCTCCGCACCGCTCGCCGCCGGGATGCCCTGGCACTGCCAGCAACCCCCCAGCACCACGAGCTGCCGAGACCGCGGCAGCGCGGCGTGAGAGCCGGGGTGCTGCCAGCGCCGGGGCCTCGGCGGCGGGGGCTGGGGGGGCTGGAGGAGGCGGGTCTCATCCTGCGCCGCTCCCTGTGCTTGCGGGGCTGGGAAACTCCCTCTTGTCGCTGTAACCCCGAGCACGCGAGCGCTGCCGCAGAGCCTGAGCAGTGCCGGCGCCTCGCGACGCCCCGGGCACCCTCTATGGGGCGGGGGGGAGACCTGGGGAGCAAGATTGCGTGGCGGGAGGGGGGCCCCTTGTCAGCCCACCCCCCTGCCCCGGGAGGGCTGGGGGTGGAGGGCAGAGGGAACGTGGGCTGCAGGATGCAGCGGAGGGTGTTGGCCTGTGTGGGGACGGGCTCCGGCTGGGGCCTCGGCCGGTGTAGAGCCGTGGAGGGCTGTCTGCCTGCGTGGGGACAGTGTCGGCAGTGGGACATGGCAGGCAGTGCGGGGGGAGGCTCTGGCATGGCTGCAGCTCCCCGCAGGGCTCTGCCCGCAGCCGGTCACAGCTCCCGTGTCCCCTTTACAGGCTGGTTGGCAACGGGCAACTGGAGATGGTGACGGGTGGCTGGGTGATGCCCGACGAGGCCAATTCCCACTACTTCGCCATGATCGACCAGCTGATCGAGGGGCACCAGTGGCTGGAGAGGAACATTGGTGAGAGCTGGGCGGGATGCTGGGCAGGAGGGCTGGCTGGGGGCCCCGCTTGACGCGCCCGTGGGCACCCTGAGCACCTCCTCACCAGGGGGGTGCTGACGGGTCTCTGTGCCCCCAGGCGTGACTGCCGCGGTCGGGCTGGGCTGTCGACCCCTTTGGGTACAGCTCCACCATGCCCTACCTGCTGAAGCGCTCCAACCTGACCGGCATGCTCATCCAGCGTGTGCACTACGCCATCAAGAAGCACTTCGCTGCCACCCAGAACCTGGAGTTCATGTGGAGACAGACGTGGGGTGAGGGGGCTGCTGGAGGTGACCCGCAGAGGGGTCCTGCTGGGGCGGGTGGCAGTGGGGAACAGCCACCAACTGCTTTGGCAAGCCGAGCGCGATTCTGCCCAATGGGGCAGCCCCGGTGTGACTCCCCAGCCGCCCCGGTGCTCTGGGGGAGGCTGCTGTGCCCTCCGGGCTCCAAGGGGGTGAGCCTGTGTGCCAGGTCTGCTCTGCCCCCACAGCCATCCTCATGCCCACGTCTCGGTGGGCTCCCCCTGCTTGGGAACGGGCAAGGAGGAGCCGTGGCTGGTGCTCAGCTGTCCTTGGTCCCAGCAGATCCAGACGCCAGCACCGACATCTTCTGCCACATGATGCCCTTCTACAGCTACGACGTGCCCCACACCTGTGGGCCGGACCCCAAGATCTGCTGCCAGTTCGACTTCAAACGCCTGCCGGGTGGCCGGATCAACTGCCCCTGGAAGGTGCCCCCCCGAGCCATCACCGAAGCCAACGTAGCCGAGCGGTGAGTGCCGCGGGGCCAGGGGCAAGCGGCTCTGAGCCCTGCAGCCCTGCCCGGGAGCCAGCCTCACACCCTGGCCCCCCCACGGCAGGGCCCAGCTGCTGCTGGACCAGTACCGCAAGAAGTCCAAGCTGTACCGCAGCAAGGTGCTGCTGGTGCCCCTGGGAGATGATTTCCGCTACGACAAGCCGCAGGAGTGGGATGCCCAGTTCCTCAACTACCAGCGCATCTTCGACTTCCTTAACGCCCGGCCCGACCTCCACGTCCAGGTACGTGCGGGGAGGTCTGGGACAGCACGGGGGGGCTGGGTGGGGGAGCAGGGCCCCCCAGGTGGAGGTTGTGGGGAGGATGAATGCCCGCAGAGCCCAGTGGGAGGGTGGGCGTTGCTGGGGGGGGGGGGGCGTGGCGAGAGCCTCCCAGCGCAGGGTTGTGCGTGCTGTCCCGCAGGCGCAGTTTGGGACGCTCTCCGACTACTTCGACGCCCTCTACAAGAAGGTGGGCATCGTGCCGGGGATGAAGCTGCCCGGGTTCCCGGTGCTGAGCGGGGATTTCTTCTCCTACGCGGACCGGGAGGATCACTACTGGACCGGCTACTACACCTCCCGGCCTTTCTACAAGAGCCTGGACCGGGTGCTGGAAGCCCACCTGCGGTGAGGGGGAGCGGGCTGAGCCCCGGGGCAGGGGTTGTGTGTGCGGGGAGGGGGCACGGGCAAGGGTTGGGCGGGCAGTCCCCCGGTCTGCGCCCGGTTGCCCGCGTGCTGGGGGTGGCCCGGACAGCGCCGGACCCTCGCTCAGCCCCAGGGCAGCGTGTGCCCCCCGCCTGCCCTCCC